ATGTGGAAGTATTCAGCTATTTACTATTGGAAGGACCTAAAAATATTAATTTATTTCATTATTTTTTCATCCTATAGTTTTAAACCTCTTTGGGATTTCTTCTTCAGTTAAACACAAAGGATGATATACTGGAAAACGTTGGAAGATATAAAACTGATATAAACACGTAATGCTGTTTGTCACTTTCGCCTAAATGGATCAACGATTTTATTCACATCACCTCATACTACAGTTTCTCATCAAATCTTGACCAATCAAATGGTCTCTAGTATCTGACATGCCCCACCCCCTTCAAGATGCTTCACATTTGCTTTTCATTTGATGTGGCAGACTGGCAGAGCTGTGATAAAATGATTTGATGAGCTACTTTATGTCCTCTCTTCATTTTCCAGTTGAGATTATGTCAAACATCAAATAAAAACTGCACATTTCAAAGCACTTCACTGGACATTTAACAGACAAACCAGTGGATCGACAACATTGTAAAGCATCTGTAATGTTGTTTAGGTCAGTGCTTCTCAAACTGTGGTACGTGTACCACTAGTGGTATGCAGGCTTCCTTCTAGTGGTACGCGAAGGAATGAAATATGTCATGTATATGCTACACACATTTCAAAATTGATCAAAAATGATGTATATAATATGCTATAAATGACATATAGCCTATATTTCTGAGGTAATCTGCCTAGTTTTTTTAACTGTGCAAAGTTGTAGCTGCTTTACTGGGACTACTACGCTACTGTATTTCAATACTGCTCATTTTGGTGGTACTTGGAGAGACAATTTTTTTTCTGAGGTGGTACTTGATGAAAAAAGTTTGAGAACCACTTGTTTAGGTCATTCTAAAAACCTTCAGCCAAAGTCTGTCATCAAAGTGGTTCAATACCTCTCAGAACTTGAGTGTCTCCATTTCCAAAAGGCATCTCACGCAAGTGGCAGCTTATGTAAAACATATCAGAGCTCTGCTAACGCCAAACACGTTAGATCGAATCAACTGAAGGTGGAAAATGCCGCTAACACCACTCTGATAGGCTATCAACTCTTACTCGGGTCATGTTAGCACATATGTAGTACATATTTTTTTAAATATTAAAATAGATAAAGCCAAATATTTGGGAAAATCATAATATATTAAGGTAGCGATTAAAAAAAAGTTCAAATATAGTTTTTTTTACCTTTTACTACATTTCAAGGGCCTTAATTTGGTCCATTTCTTAAATGACCTTTTACTTTGTACATTTTACTACCACACAGACACCCTAATATAAGATAAAAGTCCCTCGGTGGCTTTTCATACTGCAGGAAATTTCCATTTTAAAAGTTGGCATCAGTTTTTTAGAAAGTGACGATTTTGCTCTCTTTGACTCATTAGATGGAAACGCTGCTTTATTCGCAAAGGTTTTATACAACATTCCTGTTTAGTGTATCTGTTCAATTAAAATCATTGAATAGAAACAGCTAATGGCTGTTTTTATTCAAACATTGATTCATTTTCCTTCAACTTACTTCCATATTTATCAGGGGTCACCACAGCAGAATGAACCGCCAACTATTTTGGCCTGTTTTATCCAGCGGATGCCCTTCCAGCTGCAACCCAATACTGGGAAACACCAATACACTCTCTCATTCACACATACACTCATACACTGTGGCCAATTTAGCTTATTCAATTCACCTATAGCGCATGTTTGGACTGTGAGGGAAAACGGAGCACCTGAAGGAAACCCACACTGACACGGGGAGGACATGCAAACTCCACACAGAAATGCCAACTGACCCAGCTGAGGCTCAAACCAGCGACCTACTTGCTGTGAGGCAATAGTGCTTACCACAATGCCACGGTGTTGCTCTATTCAAATATGCTTCAGAATATCTTGTTTTGTGTTTAACAGAAGAAATACAGGTTTAAAACTGCATGAGTAAATGATGAATAAATGTAATTTTTTTGATGAACTGTCCCTTCAACCCAAATGTAAGATCTGACAGACGTCTCACCTGTGTGTTTCAGTCAGCACAGTGGTGGAGGAGTCGCCCAAATCTGTGAATTTCCTGGGGTTGAGTGTGGATGCAGCGGGAGCAGCAGCGGGACAGTGGATCCTGCTGGTCCTCAGCATCGTCTTCCTGCTTGCCGTCGTCTTCTTAGCCTACAGATACAGCAAGACTAAACGCCTACAGAACAAATCCATGTCTCAGATGGAGCTCAAGTAAAATCCTCCAATCCGCCAACTAATTCTATTCTTCTTGCCACGCAGTCATTACTTTTTTGGAGAAACAAAAAAACAAAACAGCTCTTTTTGAATGTAATGTATATTTATTATTTTTTTGGTCAAATTTGTTTGACTATGCAATGAACGGTGACTTCTGTAATTTATTTGTACAAATTTTTTCGATGTCTGACTGCTGTTTTCAATCATTTGTATAGTTTTAACCGTTTCTGATTGGTTTTATTGGTAAACCTTTATAAAACATAAAGAATTATAAAGAGGTTTTGGCTTCGTTTACTGTTTTAAAAGTGAAATTTTTAATAACTCATTTCTAAGGACTCGTTTCTAATATATACAGTTGAAGTAAGAATTATTAGCCCCCCTGAATTATTAGACTGCTTGTTTATTTTTTCCTCAATTTCTGTTTAACAGAGAGAATATTTTTTCAGCACATTTCTAAACATAATAGTTTTAATAACTCATCTCTAATAATGGATTTATTTTCTCTTTACCATGATGAAAGTACATAATATTTTACTTGATATTTTTAAGACACTTCTATACAGCTTGAAGGGATATTTAAAGGCTTACCTAGGTTAATTAGGTTAACTAGGCAGGTTAGGGTAATTAGGCAAGTTATTGTATAACGATGGTTTGTTCTGTAGACTATCGAGAAAAATATAGCTTGAAGGGGCTAATAATTTTGTCCCTAAAATGGTGTTCAAAAATTTTAAAACTGCTTTTATTCTAGCTGAAATAAAACAAATAAGACTTTTTCCAGAAGAAAAAATATTATCAGACACACAGGGAAAATTTACTTGCTCTGTTAAACACCATTTGGAAAATATTTTAAAAAGAAGAAAAAAATTTGAAGGGGGCTAATAATTCTGACTTTATGAGCCCCCCTGAATTATAGCCCCCTTGTTTATTTTTTGCCCAATTTCTGTTTAACAGAGAGAAGATTTTTTCAACACATCTCTAAACATGATAGTTTTAACTGATTTCAAATAACTGATTTATTTTTTCTTTGCCATGATGACAGTAAATAATATTTTACTAGATATTTTTCAAGACACTTCTATACAGGTTAAAGTGACATTTAAAGGTTTAACTAGGTTAATTAGGTTAACTAGGCAGGTTAGGTTAATTAGGCAAGTTATTGTATAACAATGGTATGTTCTGTGGACTATCAAAAATTTTGCTTGAAGGAGCTAAAAATGTTGACCTTAAAATAGTGTTTAAAAAATTAAAAACTGCTTTTATTCTAGCCGAAATAAAACAAATAAGACTTTCTCCAGAAGAAAAAACATTATCAGACATACTGTGAAAATGTCCTTGTTCTGTTAAACATAATTTGGGAAATATTTCAAAAAGCTAAAAAATTTCAAAGGGGGCCGAATAATTTTGACTTCAACTGTATACACACACACACACACAGACACAGACACACACACACACACACATACACACACACACACACACACACACACACACACACACACACACACACACACACACACACACACACACACACACACACACACACACACACACACACAAAATATATATATATATATATATATATATATATATATATATATATATATATATATATATATATATGTTTTTGTTTTTTTAGCTTGGCTAGAATACTTTATGTAAAAATGGTCAATATATATTTTATTAGCCCTCTTGTAAAATTGTAATTCTTCTCCAAATATTTTGTGTTGTAAACTAGTGAAATTTAACAGAGTAAATGAAGAAAGTCATATCCACTTATGCTGTTAAATATCACTATTTCACATCAAATATTTGGAGAAGAGTTACAATTTTATAGGAGGGCTAATAGTTTTGTCTTCAATATTTTACATGACGACTTTTACAAAATATTAGGCAAGGCAAGTTTGGGTTTATAGCACATTTCATGCACAATGGTAATTCAAAGTGCTTTACAAAAACAAGAATAAAAAACAATAAAAAAATTATTAAAAGAATCAAAAATTATTAAAAACAGATAAATATGTGTTAAAGGAATGAAAAAGAAAAGAAAGACAAAATAATGATCTGTTGGACGTAGCACAGTGCTCATTCAGTAAAGGCACAGCTAAACAGATGTGTTTTCAGTCTTGTTTTGAATGCGCCTAATATTGGAGCACATCTGATCATTTCTGGAAGCTGATTCCAGCAGCAGAGGGCGCTGTTAGTAGATGAATGCGGATTCCATCTGCTTTGACTGAACTCTTGATTTTCTAATTTACTTGATCCTAAAGATCTGAGGGATCTGTTTGGTTTTTTATTCTGTAAGCATATCTGTAATTGAGATCCTAGACCATTTAGTGATTTTTAGACAAGTAATAATCTATTCTGAATGTAACTGGGAGCCAGTGTAAAGAGGACAGGTGTGGTGTACTCGGATTTTCTGGTTCTGGTCAAAATCCTGACCGCAGCGTTCTGGATGAGCTGCAACTTTCTGACTGTCTTTTTAGGAAAGGCCAGTGAGGAGTCCTTTACAGTAATCCATCCTGCTGCTGATAAAAGCATGAACAAGTTTCTCCAAGTCCTCACTGAAAACAAAGCATCAAACTCTTGCAATGTTTTAAGCCGGTTTACTTACTGCTTTGACATGACTACTGAATTATTATGATTATTACCATAGATTAAAAAATAATTATAAAGATGTTTAAGCCTTGCTTGCTGTCGGAATTTTATGTTTGGACAATGCTGAGCATGTTTAACCTTGTTGAAAGTGGAAGGATATGAGCTGTTTTGAAATGAAATCAGCAGCAATGATGTGGCTTGGCATTACAAATATTATTTTATATAGAAATTACAGTCTTTATTCAATCATGAAATCAACATTCTCTACTGGAAAGATAGTTTGCAACAACAGGAGAGCAGTTACAGTAGTAGTGGTTCCACTGAATTTTAAAATTCAGCATTTGTAAAAGTAAAATAAACGCATTAAAACTGGGAATTTCCAAAAACAAAACAAAACTTGACAACAAACCGCAAAGCAAAAAAAAAAAAAAAAAACAATGGCTCACTCAAAAAGTGTAGATGTGTATCTATGTGAACTGATTTTTGGTTATACAGTGAAAGAAAAATCAAAAATTATTATAGTATATTTATAAAATGCATTTTTAGCCATTCTGATCCCAAATTTTCACATTTATTCAAACAGTTTTTTTATTTCTTTGCATGTTCTGCCACATAAAATATATGTAAAAGTAATTGGTGGTTCATTCCACTGTGGAACTCCCAGATAAATCAGGGACTAAGCCAAAGGCTAGCGAGTAAGTAACTGTATCGTCACCTCGGAATTATGAGGTTCTAATTATAAGGTTCTATCTGCGTTCTGGATGATTTTGAGATATTGAGCTTCAAAGTATTTTGCATTCCATAGCAAACAATATGTGTGTAACATTTGTTTTTTTTAAATAAAAGGTCTTAAAATGTAAACAACTTATATTAAAAAAAAAACATCAATGTTGTAAATAAGTTGTTAATAAGAATATGTCAATAAATCAATTTTGACAAAAAATGTCAGATAGAACCTTAGAATTCTAAGGTGAAGGTATGTGAAGTCTATGTTTTCAAAGTTTTTCTATGTTTAATTGTTAGGTTGATAGTGGGAAAGTTTACCCAAAATTGAAAGATTTCTCACTATTTTCTTGATAAGTGTTTTGTTCTTTTGTTGAACACACAAAAAAATTATTCTGAGGAATGTTGGGAAAATAAAGCCATTGACAACCATGGTTGGAACAAAATCTACTATGGAACATTCGTCATGATATAAAAACAAGTATACACATGCACACACACTTTAATGTTGATAGGAACTTTGTGGTTTGGACATTGTCATTTTCCTCCATGGGAGGATGTAGAAGTACGATGCGATCTATGTTGATCCTAGAATATAATTTTTGTTGGAAAATTTAATCCATAATTGTTTAAACTATACTTCACTGAATGATATTAAAGTGATGTTTACACCATATCTGCATTTTGAAATCGCAGCAACAGCTGGAGGTTTGTAGCCCACAGCATGTTGCTGCAATGTTTACAGTGGTACTGTATATACTCCTATACTTTTAGGTTTCTTCCCATTGCAGCCTTGCTTTCGTTTTTTTAAAATGGCAGCCGATTGAAATAACCAAATGATGTACCACGAGAGAATTCATGAATGGGAGTAAAGAAACAACTGACGCAGGTAGATCACGTGATGAATGACATACACTACTGTATAGTTCGTACTTTTCTAATGGCCGAGTAGTACATTTAACCCCCAGGAGTTAATATAGTTTACAGAGTTTTATACAGTGCACTGACTCTCACAAGTGTATCTCGAGTTATTTTGTGTGATAGCTAAATATATTTTAAATAAACTGTAAACATAAAAAATAAAGTTATCTTTTCCTCAGATTAGTCTTACCTGTCTGATGGCTCATTATTCAGGTCTTTGTCTTCTCAGGTGTGACTCACTGCATTAGTAATGATTCTCGAATAGACCACTTTCACTCAGAAAGTGACTAAGAAATTTAAATTCATTACATTGTTTTCTGTGAGCAAGCAAACAAGATGATTCTCACATCATTTTGAAGCAAAAACACTAGGCTACAAGATCCAGTTCTCAAAAGTCTTGTGAACAAATGTTGTCTGTGTGTTTCACGGCCTTGTTTTAGTAACTTTAAATTTTAGTTTTTCACTAACTACGCATAAACGTTTCTTTCTCAAAAACACAAACACAAACAAACATGCTGCTCAGGTATTATTGTAGCCCAGCTTGTGCTGTTTACAGTATTATCACACTTTAGCCATTAATATGTTTTTAAGATACTGAAAACAACACAAATGTCAGTGCATGTCAAAACTTCTCCACGGCCCCAAAACACCCTTACGCCCCATTCACACGGGGCTTCAGCGTCAACGCTTCCTATTCACTTTGAATGGGTGACGTCAGGCGTTGCCGAACTGCATGGTGGATCTGTCGACGCCGCTTCAGAGACGTTGCTGCAGAAGTTGGGACTAGCTCAACCTTTTAAGCGCCAACGTAAGCGTTAGCCAATCAGATCGCTGTATGCAAATACACCAGCTAGACAGTGGCCTATTGCTAACTGTATTTCATTGGCTGACGCTTCTATGACGATCGCTTCAGCTTCAACTTCAGACACGCCTTCAGTCAATTGTTGACGCTGAAGCCCCGTGTGAATGGGACGTTAGACCCCTGAGGGTTAAATTCAAATGCAGTACCTACGTTGTAGTAGGCGATTCCGGACGCAGCCTATTTCTGTCTCTTTCAAAGAGTTTGTCAGGTTTTGACCGTAAAATGCAACTCTGTTTATTTTTCGCAACTTATTTCAATGCAAACGAAATCATTAACAAAGTTTAACGTCTGCTCGGTTTCAGCGGGATGTCGATGAGTAAAAATGACCAACTCTAAACTCCAACTGATCTCAATACATATAAAAAGCAACCCTGATTAAAAGCTATCATAAGAAACGGAATGAAACGTCATACAATATGCACAAAATTCAAAACATATTTACATATTATCCCAGATAATCTGGCTTTGTTGAAAGCAGTTTAATGGTCTACAACTCTATTGCACACAGACCAACAAACGCTTCCAAACTTGTTCTCACTGTGTTTGAGCAACGGCGATGTCCAGTGTCCTTCGAGTGGAGGCGGGGTTAATAAATCACATCGTCCAATCATCACGCTCCTCCTGGCTCTGGATGGATGGAGAGAGTGAAGACGTCAGTAGTAAAATTCATGCATTTCTGTCCAGTTGGTCACCCAGAGTTTCTTGCTGAGGTCTTGCTCGGGCTGGAAGGCCAGGTTGTAGCGTTCCTCTTTGCGGACTTTCACACCTTGGTACTTTGGCATGATCCTGTAGTAAACAGCCCTCTTGAAGAAACCACACTGCTCCAGACACACAGACAATGAGAGGGAGACTTCAAGTTAAGAGTTGATGGATCTGCCTTGAAATGAATTTGGATTTTTAACTAATTTAATCTTTTATTCTCTCTTTTCTGTGACAACAATGATGTTTTACATTTAAAATGCACAGTGATTTTAGCCAAGCTTCAAAAAAGATGCACAAAATCCTATTTCAAGTCGTTTGAAGCCATTTGATGAGTGTGTTTGGTAAAAAAAACAAAAAAAAAAAACGTTTTAAGTGTATTAATTTGTTATTCAGCTTCATTTCTCATTTGCTTTGTATGACTAGTTTGCATAGTGAATGCAAGCCTAATTTACAGAAGCTTAAACCACAGAATAAAAAATGAAACTGTTTATCTCACAAATCTGATATTTTTCTTACACAAAAAAAAGTTTAACTGATTTTAACTTGAAAACAAAAGATAAAAAACTCTTTATTTTTACAAAATTTACTTTAATTTTTACAAAATTTTGAAGGAAAAAGTCAAAACTATGAGTCAAACTCATAATTCTGAGCAGGGCTGCACGGTACTGAAAAAATCTGACATTGCAAAATTTTATTTTGCTGCAGTAATTATTGCAATATAAATATAATTTCAACTGGTTGATTTGGAAAGCTCAATTTGAAAATATTTTATGAATTTAGATCAACTGGGATGATCAAGTCTTTTTCTGTGCAGTGCATCAGCATAAAATATAATAAATTACAAGCATATATAAATATGACAGAGCAAAAATAAAAGTGTTTTCTAGGAAGTGTAAAGTTATTTTACTTTTGATTTTTCAATTTCTGGACTTAAATACTATGGCCATTGTGATATTTAAAATTCTCTTCATCTATTAATCTTTAATAAACAATCTAATCATGCGATGTGACAATTGCAGATAAACACATTGTGATATCGATTCTCGATATATTGAAGAATATATTGTTCAGCCCTAATTCTGAATGATTTTTGTTTAAAAGTTCATATTACTCTTATTAAAAAGCTTCCAAACTATAAAACCTCATTGTTTTTCACAGAAAAAAAACAAAATGCTAAGTAAATGACCAAAAAACATTGGCTTTGAATACACTTTTAAAAGTATAATTCACCCAAATATGACAACTCTGAATTACATCTGAATTATATCTGAAATCAAATATTAAAAATCAAAAGTCTTTTTTTTTCGGTTACTTGGACTGTCAAAGGAGGTACAGAAAGCTTTGATATTTCAATAAAAATATATTAATTTGTGTTTTGAAATTACCCTTACTGTGTATCCAGCCTCATCTCATGAGAAAATGTAAGGATTTTACGTTGTGTCTGTTTAGTGGCTAACTCAAACGAATTTGTACGAGTAGTCATAAGAAAATCTACGATTTTAAAAAGGAGGCGTGGCACCCAGCCCTGTCCCTAAACCCAACCGTCATTGGGGGATGAGCAAATCATACTAAATCGTACGAATGAGATTATACGAATTAGCCACTAAATCAAAAAGTTACTAATTGCTGTGAGATTGTGTTGGTGTGTCTGATGGGCTTGGAATGGCATGATGTTCCCTTTTAAGAAATAAATTTTCTTTATTGGTATTGATGGTCCCATGAAGAAAGTTTAACACCAATTTACTATGCAAACTTTTTAGAGCAAAAAACTGTTCTTCATAGTGGAAAAAGATTCTTTAGATACGTTCTTCCCACTATCAAAACTGCTTCTTTGAAGAACTTTTTTTTTGGCAACCAAAAAAGGTTCTTATGGCAGGGGTTTCATTCTGGGTGAACTATTCCTTTCAATAAACAAACAAAATATACAGATCATGCGTATATATATATATATATATATATATATATATATATATATATATATATATATATATATATATATATATATATATATATATATATATATATATATATATATACACACATACATACATACATACATACACACACGCACGCACGCACGCACGCACGCACGCACGCACGCACACACACACACACACACACACACACACACACACACACACACACACACACACACACACACACACACACACACACACACACACACACACAGTTAAAGTCAGAATTATTAGCCCTCTTTGAATTTTTTTAAAAATATTTCCCAAATGATGTTTAAATGATGTCTGGAGAAAGTCTTATTTGTTTTATTTCGGCTAGAATAAAAGCAGTTTTTTAATTTTTTAAACACTATTTAAAGGACAAAATTATTAGCTCCTTTTAACTATGTATATGTTTTGACAGTCAACAGAACAAACCATTGTTATACTAGAACTTGAAAATATCTTCTCTCCGTTAAACAGAAATTGGGGAAAAAATATACAGGAGGGCTAATAGTTCTGACTATATATATATATATATATATATATATATATATATATATATATATATATATATATACACACATACATACATACATACATACACACACGCACGCACGCACGCACGCACGCACGCACGCACGCACACACACACACACACACACACACACACACACACACACACACACACACACACACACACACACACACACACACACACACACAGTTAAAGTCAGAATTATTAGCCCTCTTTGAATTTTTTTAAAAATATTTCCCAAATGATGTTTAAATGATGTCTGGAGAAAGTCTTATTTGTTTTATTTCGGCTAGAATAAAAGCAGTTTTTTAATTTTTTAAACACTATTTAAAGGACAAAATTATTAGCTCCTTTTAACTATGTATATGTTTTGACAGTCAACAGAACAAACCATTGTTATACTAGAACTTGAAAATATCTTCTCTCCGTTAAACAGAAATTGGGGAAAAAATATACAGGAGGGCTAATAGTTCTGACTATATATATATATATATATATATATATATATATATATATATATATATATATATATATATATATATATAATTTCTAATAACTGATTTCATTTATCTTTACCATGATGACAGTACATCATATTTTACTAGACATTTTTCAAGATTCTAGTATTCAGCTTAAAGTGACATGTAAAGGCCTAACTAGGTTAATTAGGCAAGTCATGTCAAGTAGAATGATGGTTTGTTCTGGAGACAATCGAAATTATAGATTGGTTAAGTGGCTAATAATATTGACCTTAAAATGGTTTTTAAAAAATTAAAAACTGTTTTTATTCTAGCCGAAATAAAACAATATATATATATATATATATGAGGGCTAATAATTTTCAATTGTACATATTCAAGATTAAATTGTGAGTATTGTAAAAATGTTAATAGAGATTTCAGTTTTTTCAAGGAATGGGGTTAAGATATTGAGCAAGACAGACAGAATGAGGAAAGAATACACTGTTATTGGACAGTGAAGGGATTAGAGAGTTATTTTAAGAAACAGGCTTGTGGAGTGAAAAGTCAGAAAAGGCGTTATGTTGACTAAGTAGAGCTCTTGGGTCTGCTTTACCGAAGGGCCCTATAATGGTGGAGCCCTGCATGCAGGCTCAGAACTCCTCCGTCAGCCTCTCTGTCTCAGAGGGCTGGATCTTTATTTCTGCTTTCTGGGATTTGGCCTCATACATCTCTCTCCTGCTGGCCCGTCTGAAGAAACCGCACTGTGGAGGAGGAGCGCAGCCCAGGGCCAGATATTTAGTACTCATTTAAAGGACATTTCACATCAAGGGTGCGCTGCTAAAGCTGAGTTTAAAAGACTGCAAGCACTATCCCCTGCTGATGCTATTTTGTGAAAAGTTAGCTTATAAATAAGTGCAGTTGAAACACGTATATAGTGCATAGATACAATACAATACACTGTTCTCTGATATTAACATGGTAGGCGTGTGGTTTAAATACATACTTAAAGTAATCATACTTAATTTGTCAAAACATTTTTGAGTAGATGATTTGTTGATCATTTCAACTAAAGCGGTGGAGAGGTTTATTTTAGCTAGAAGGAGTAAGTGAGCTGGTAAAGCTGAGTTTTAAAGACTGCAAGTATGTAGTTTAATTCTGTCTAGTCATTAGTGTTTATTAACTATCCCTGGTGGCATTTTTTATGAAAAGTCAGCTTAGAAATATGTGTTGCTGAAAAAAAGTTGAACCCAAAATGGAAACAATGATGAATATGAATGCTAAGCACTATTTGAATACTACCAATCTTATTATGCTTGTCATTGCTGTTGATACACAATTATTCTTTCCCTCGTCTCATTTCTATTATATTGCTGCTAATGTTTTCTGTGTTTGTCATATGTTTGGTAACACTTTAGTTTAAGTAACAATTCACACCTATTACTACTGGCTTATTTCATTCCTATTATTAAGATATTAACTGTTTATTAGCACTTATATAGTATGATCTTAATTTACATCCCTAATCTTACTCATTAACTAAACCCAACTACTACCTTACTAACTAGTAATGAGCAGCTAATTAGTCATTTGTGGAGCTAAAAGTCTTAGTTAATGGTTCGTTAATAGCGTGAACTGTACAGTAAAATAAAGTGTGACAGTGTGCACAGCAGGTTGTGTTTACCTTATTTTATATTTTTGCACTTTTGAATTTTTATTTTTAATTTAAAAATGTTCATAAAAGTGTGTATGAATACAACTTTGCGCTATGAGTAATAATATGTAATACGTAATATGTAATAAGTAATGCCTTTTATATGTTTAAATAATTTGTATCTCATGGATGTGTCGTTTCTTAAATGCTTAAAAAATACATTTCTAATGTTAAAAAAGATAGCTTCATCAAATACACCGTGATGATAAAAATGTATCAGTTTACAACAAACAATAATAACAATATTTTAAATATTATAACAATAATATATTTATTAAGCAGCAATTTTTCAATGTATTCAAATTGCTGAAGAGTCCATTTATTTTTATTATATGGGCTATAATTATATTATTATTAAGAGTCCATATTTCACAATATAATTAATTTAAATGTAAAATTAATGTTTAAATAAAAAAAGTAATTTTTTTAACAATCATCCCCAAGCTGTTAGAGTAGTATATAATCACAATAGTGTTTTGTTAACATATTAAAGATAATTTCACTCATTTCTGAACAACCACTTGTTTTTCATATATTTTCTTTTGTTTGGAAAAAAATAAAGACAAAAAATAAAAATACAATTATTTCCTACAAAAAATGGCATTAGTGAAAAAAACCCAGTCTCATAATATTTAACACTTGAGGCAAAAATAAACTAAATAAAAAATAACGGATAAATCCAGCAGATTTCATAACAGCAAATACCTACACAAACCAGGCTCATTCTGAAAATGTACCACCATGTACATTTCTGGAGAGAGCCAAATACATCCCAGGAGCTACGTTTCTGTTTTCACGAATCCACCAGAGGCCGCTGTTCAGATCTCAAATTTCTCTTACTAGTGCCATTTGCACCTGCTGTTCACCCATTAATCCAACAGAGGTCACTGTCGACTGACTGACGACTGACGGAATGACTGACTGACTGACCGATCGCTTACCCACATTCCTTCCCTAAACCTGACCAGTAGTGTTTTCAAAAGCACAGATTGACCCGCCCACCCACTGCTGTAAAGCCAATCTACAGTTTCAAAACGCAATTCAGAAAAAGAAAAGCCCTCGTCTGACTTTTTCCACATTTTCAAATTGTACCACATTCTCACCCTGTGATTTACTTGTTTATTTAATTTTTCCCCGCTTTCTGGAACTGTTCTTTGTTGGACTCAAACCCCGTCGTTGTGATCAACTCAAGTCCGCTGACTTACATAGTCAGCTACTGGTCAAACTGATAACAACGGGAAAGCCTTCCAAATGGAGGTAAACGTTCAGCTGGTAAGCGTAAAAACGAACGGTTTTATACCGTCAGTTTTAAAAACGACCGTACTGCTGGCTACATAATTTGAAATCTCCAGAAATGTATATAGGGCTACGTTTTCAGAATGAGCCTGACTTGTACCCACACTATATACTTTAAAACTGCCAGTCAAGTTGTAACAAGGATTTAAGACCATTCTCATTAATGAGCAAAATACATGTTTAAAGGAATGTCGAGCAAACATACCTTCCAGAGAATAAGACTGATGATGCCTAATAAGAGTATTCCTGCAACCGCTGCAACAATGATGATCCAGAGGGGAACTTCATACGGTGTCTCTTCTCCCAACACCGGATCAATGTTCACTGAAAACTACACACAGAAGAGATGTTCACAACTTCTCAGCCAAAGTATAGACCTGGGCTTCTCAATGTCCAGGCTCTGGTCCAGATCATATTCATATTTAAAGAGCATGAATTGTGTGTAAGGGATTAAACGTGTGAATATACTACTTTAATAAATGCGGGTAAACTTTATTTGCTTTTTTAAAATGTTTTTTCGGCAATGATTTAAAATGAAACCAAAGGTGATAGTTAAACTGAAGGGCGATAGTCAAATTGTCATCTTAGTCAGCGTATGAAGTTTGCCATAATTGGGCATCAAACACAATGGGCCCTATCGTACACCTGGCGCAATGTGGCGCAAGGCGCGGCGCAATAGTCTTTTGGTAGTTTCAGCTTGGCCCAAGAGTCGTTTTGAGACGTTGCGCTACGCTGTTTGAATAGCAAATGCATTAGCGCTCATATGTGCGCTCATAGGCGTTCTGGTCTAAAAAGGAAGGCGTTCTGAGGCGCACTGCTGGCGCGTCGCTATTTTGAGCAACTATAATAGATTTTTCATTAGACCAAAACTAACCCGGTCTAAACTCCGGCGCAGAGTTGCGCCTCGCTTACACACTGCTTAATACGCACAAGAGAGCAATAGGCAAATATCTTTACATATGAAAAAATGTAGATATTAAGGATATATATAGGATATAACAAGAATAGATATAGAATATAAATATAAAGGATTAAAATATTACAAAACATATTATTTTCTAGCCTACATAAATATGAAAAATCACTGCTTTTATAACTTCTTCATCTAGGGAGGCTTTTTCAGTTCATTCATAACAATTTGCTTTTGTATAATGTTATTATTATTAGCAGTATTATTTATTATATCCATATTTATATTTGTTTTATTAAAAACAAGCTTAGATTTGCACACCTGTCAGGTTTTAGACCATAAGGGGCACAGCATGTGTTTTAGGATATAACTCAGGTTTTTGACCACACTTCGTTATTATTGTTCATTTATTCGTTTGCTGGAAATTAGAACTGAATTTAGAAATAGTTTTGAAATGAATATTTGCGCTTAACAAACAAAATTATTTATTTATAGACTAATTGATGTCTGTGCGTAAAGGTTTCCCTATCCAAGAGCAAAGTGTAAGTGATCCATTATCTCTCATTCTCACGCAGTAGATGCTCTGTTTAACAGTTTTCTGTTAAAAAAAACTGTTAACTGTTAAGTGTTTGCTAGTGAAATGTAAATTTTTTTTCCACTTAGACTTACTTTGCGTCCTGTAAATAGCAAATGCGCTCTTGGCGCGACGCAGCTGGCTCTTAAAGGGAATGGGAGATGAGACTCTAATTGGTTTATTCTCAAAACACACCTATAACTCATTAAGAAAATAAACTCAACCCTTTTAGACCTTTGTGCTATGGCGCAAAGCAGATTTTCCTGTCCTTAAATTAGCAAAAACGTGTCCTGACTCGCCCTGAAAGCGTTTGCACCCTGCGTTTTGCGCTCTGCGCATGGTCCGTCAAAATAGAGCCCAATATCATCAACTTTAAGATGCAATATACATCGAGAACAGTATAACATATGGAATCAATGCACTGATATCTACATGGTAAGTATATGGCTTAAATACAAACTTGCAAAACAATCATACATATATTTGACCAAATTGAGTAGACGCTTTGGTAATAGTTTCAGCTGAAGTGGTGGAGAGGTTTATTTTAGCTAGAAGGAGAGAGTGAGATATCTTTAAGCCACCAGAGTAATTTAGTTTGCTCCTGAAATACAGACTAAATGATAAATAGACTTTACAAATGGAAGCTTCAATGTATGTGAAAACACAGACAGAAATTAATAACAACTTCTGCATAAAATGACGAGTTTATTAAAGTGGATTGGTGTTCTTTTACTGATGTGATTTGATATGACACAATGCATAAATGTGCATTAAACACCACCTCGCAGTTTATGTGTGTTGGTTGCCTAATTACAAACCTGTCATATTGTACTATATATGTTAAACTAACAAAAGATACATTTAAACAGACCTTTTGCCACTTCGAGGTGGCGCTGAATCATTTTTTAATCCGTATATCCTGCAATTTGTGTTGTAACATCTAGGGCTGCTCGATTATAGGACAAATCTTAGTCACCATGTGTGTTTTTTATGTTTTTTTTTTTAGGAATGGTCCCAAATTAAACCAAAGGTGATAGTTTTTTCTGCGTGACACTGTTATCATCCTGTCAGCCTATGAACTTTGCTATAATCGGCCGACATTCTACACCGCAGTAAGAATTTGAATGGATGATGAGGATGTCGTTTCCAAAAAAGAAAAGTTGACAAAGAACGTTACAGTACAGTTTTCAAAGGTGATTGGACAGAGACGTGTGTGTTCATTTTGCTCCAATCCAGCACAAATGTTTGGTACTGTATAATGTTTAGTTTGTTATGAGACAGCTGGAGTTTTGAAGATTCAAAATGTCAAACGCTATAATGAAACAACACTTTACACTAGACAGCTGATGGAATCCTGACAGTGCCATTTCTCACATTAGACTGCTCTGTTTTTTGCATTACTGTACCTCTGGCTGTGCTTTGTTCATAAAATTAATTCATAAAATGTAAATTTCTTAACATTTGCACTTCTTAATAATTTATTTTAAAATGCAAAGGGCAAATAATTGGTTGGTTGATGTACAGTAAAACCAAAATTTAAAATCTATTTATTTATCTCTATTATTAAAATCTAGTTTTGTTATAATCAGTGTTTCCGGACCTTTGACATTGATGAAAATTCTGATTTGTACCCTTGAATTGAGACTTTAGGAACCTCTGATTAATATAGACCACAAACTTAAGTTGAGTTTGGGTGAACTATCCTGTCAGTGTCAACAGTTCTAACCTCTCTGGTTTGGTTGTCCATTTTGATGGCCGGTTTATCGGTCAGCAATCTCAATGTAGCCTGTCCCTTTACTTCCACTCGCAAGGCTTTGGCATAGTCCTGTGTGAAAACACAGAGACCCAAATGAGCCAGCAACCTTCATGTCAAAGAGTTCTTGATGATCAGTGAGTGTACAAACCTCCAGCAAGGTGCCGTTCCACACCCGTGCTCGAACTCTGACCTCCGCCTGGGTGGACATGTTGAGCAGCGGGCAGGAGAAGGTCTGACACAGAGCCGTCTTCTTTGAACAGTCCTGAGCAAAGATAAAACACACACACTCTCTGAATGTTCAAAGTAGAGCTGCGTGATTCTGCTGAAACTGAGAACCCCGATTATTTATTTAAAATAATAAAAAAAAACCACGATTCTCATGATTATGAATTTAAGAGTAATAATTTTTTATTAGTTATATATTTATTATAATTGTGAAATGTATCAATTTTCTATACTTAGTAATACAGTATATTGTAGTATTCATTACAAATAATTGTAAATACTATAATATCCACTATATAATACAGTGAACTGTAGTATGGTTGAAAAACACTATAGTATTTACTATAAATTACTGCATTATTTTTTCCATGTGGATGGTTTTAAACCATAATGATTTTTATTCTTCTATTGAACACAAAATAAGATATTTTGAAGAATGCTAGTAGTTGGCACCCATTGATATCCATAGTAATTTTTCCTACAATGAAAGTCAACTAGCATTCTTCAAAATATCTTCTTTTGGGTCCAGTAGAAGAAAGAAATTCATAATAGTTTAAAACCATTTTCACCCACATGAAAAAAACAAATCTATAGTAATTTATAGTAAATATTGTAGTGTTTTGGAACCATACTATGGTAAAGTGTACTATACAGTATATAATATACTGCAGTATTTATGAAACTTTGTTAATGAATGCTCTAGCCTACTGTATTATTGACTATATTGAAACTGTCATAAATACTGTAGTATATTTTAGTTTTTACTACATTAAACTGATGTTCTGTAGTATAATATACCCTATAGTTGTAGAAAATTACAATATCGGGTCATTTGTTTATATTATATAGTTATGTTACCATAGCAATTATATAAATACAGATTAATTCAAGTACTTTACTATAGTACGGTTCAAAACCACTACAATATTTAATATACAGTTGAAGTCAGAATTATTAGCCCCCTTTGAATTTTCTTTTATATATATATATATATATATATATATATATATATATATATATATATATATATATATATATATATATATATATAAATAAAAAATAAATAAATAGTAGGGTTAATAATTAAGGGTGGGGGGGGGTGCTAATAATTCTGACATCAACTATAAATTACTATTGTACTTTTTTCACGTGGGGAGGAGAGTAAATGATGAGGTAAGTTTCATTTTTAAGCGATAAATGATTAACAAAATAAAGAAATATTCATTAATTTTCCTTCCTTAGTCCTTTTATTCATCAGGGGTCGCCTTTATTATTCATCAGCGGAAATTATCTAGCATATGTTTTACACAGCGGATGCACTTCCAGCTGCAACCCAGTGCTAGGAAACGTCCATAAACACATTTAAACTCATACACTACAGCCAATTTAGTTTATTCAATTCACCTATAGCACAAGTCTTTGGACTGTGGGGGAAACCGGAGCACTCGGAGGAAAACCCATGCCAACATGGGGAGAACATGCAAACTCCACACAGAAATACCAACTGAACATATAAATAAATAGAAATATATAAATAAATAAAAATGACAAAATGTTATTCCATGCAATCTATTTGTACAAAATATCATTATACAATTTAAATTATATGTTTTGTATCTTTATTTGAGAAAATGCCTTACAGTAATTAACCACTTATAAGGGCTTTGTTTGTTTCAGTACTATATGAATCAGCTTTTTGTCCATTTATTGAAGGATTTATTCAATGACAAATATATTTTAATGGTTGTTTGTCACCACAATTTGGCAAAACAATGTATTGCTACAACCCTCATTTAATAGTACCATTGACATCAATGTTTATATTGCATCTACTTCAATGAATTGGATTGTTTGTAGCTCAGAAATAATATTACAGGTTGAAAAGACTAAAGAAGAGAGCTGTCCATATACTGTATGTCGACTTCTCTGGGTCAAACGGATATCTACGGATGAGACTGTAAAGCTAGGGTCAACAATCTCGGTCCTTGAGGGCCGGTGTCCTTGCAGGCTTTAGCTCCTACTTACCTCACCACACCTGCCTGGGTGTTTCAAGTATACCTAGTAAGACCTTGATTAGCTTGTTCAGGTGTCCTTGATTAAGGTTGGAGCTAAAATCTGCAGGACACCGTACCTCCAGGAACAAGTTTGGTGACCCCTGCTGTAAAGGTTAAATAAACATACGCAGATCAAGATCATTTAGGATTAATATTATGTGGGTATCTGAATTAAAGTTGCAATCTTCTAATAAATAATCATGTAGCTCTAATTCAAAGAATAAAATAAAAAAGCCCAAAAATCCAAATCTGTCTGCCTCACCAGAAAATGTGCCACTTTACGAGTCGCCAGGACGGTGACAGAAGCTTCAGCGTGAGGAAACCCAGAATCCACTTCTCTTTTGTTTCGTTTAGTACCTTCTTTTGACAGCTGGAAGAGACGACAAATGAGTGAAGAGAATTGAATCAAGAATTAATAACTGCTGTATTTCCTGAGACTCACTGTGAGGTTTAGATAGTTGACGATATTCCCTGGCGGGACACAATGAGACTCCGATGATCCTTTGATCACTATTTCTGTGAGATACAGCAGCCATTTCCCATTGGCTACTGCATACGGCCAGTCAAAGTCAATCACAAGAGTTCCCAGATCTCCCAGTGGTTCTCCCAGCACCTGCACCTGGAATGTGGAATTATGGAGTGAACAAAACCATTAAGATCATTTTGATAATTGGAAAAAAGCTTTCTTGAGCAGAACAAAATAAAATAATTTCTGAAGGTTTAGATTTAAACTGCAAAAATCCCTTTAAAATATTTATAATCACACTTGATGAACACACTTGATTACCTGTCAGAGGGAGAAAGCCCTGCCCTTTAGTGAAGATCTTTCCCTCTTTAGCATACAGTAGGACGTAAGCAAAGACTACAGAATACACAAGACATGTAACTCATATAGTTTTTATTGGGGAAAAGTGTAATGATCAATATGGCAATTGAAGCCCCGCTTACTAGTACAGGAAGCCAATCATCGATTGCTATAAACTGATGTTTCTCCGGGGGAAAAGATCGAACCAGACATGTGGTTTTACAACAGTTTGGTGGTGAACTAACACATTGGAATCTCAGAGAAAACTTGCTTCACACACATACGAAATATATCCAAATAAAGCTTGAAATGTGTGCTTTTAAATGAATCAAGTTCACTTGAAACAAACGTTTTTGGGTTTTGTAATTTGTATGAAACTTATGCGAGGTACAGTCCACGTCCTTTCAAACGCACATCACATGACAGCAATTACTCAACGCCCACAAACTTGTAAACAAAATGAGTCGCTGTCATTTCTGGAGATTCACCATGAATTACTTCAGAAGGCCAGAGCAATCTAACAAAGCATTATTCAGAGGATGATGTGTAGAATGGCCATAAATAAGGCTGGTGTCGTGATCTTGTTCTTTTTGAGTGCGCATACTATACTTATTAGCTTGGGCAACCTAAAAATAGGTTGATTTGGTTGTTTAAAAACTAAACTTATGAAACAGCTGTTGTTTAATTTTATTGGTGGTTCCAAATATGTAAGTTCGGCAAACAGTTTTGGAGAATTGATGTTTCTCCATTCAGACAGAAAGCTTAAGCATACCAGCTGAAAGGCTTTCAAAGATGGCCGCAGAGTAAAATGACTTGCCTTAAAGGGACTTTGACGTTAGTCTTGTTTTTGAATCTGCCGCTAAACAGACACATTTGTAGCTCTGCCCTTTTTTGAGAAAGAACACAATCTCATTTGAATTAAAGGTCAACCCAAGCTCATTCTGAAAACGTAGTCCCGCGTTTATTTTTTTCAAGCGAACACTAAGGGGCAGTGTGACGCCATTCCCTATTGCGCTTGCCGGCCGGCTGGCCGACCGCTTACCTCCTTGTGGAAGGCTTCCCCGCTGCAACCCGTTTGTCCACTCAGCTCACCGTGTACGTCGACAGGCTCGAGATGCAGAGAGGAGTTGACCATGGCGATCGGTTTCGAGACCGGGGAAGAGCGGTTCCAGCAATCAGGTAAGACAAAAACAGAATCCCAAAAATTTAGTGAACGAGTTTCGTAACAGGGTGAGAACGCGGTGAAATCCGAAAACGCGGTAGAAAAAAAAAATCAGGGCTTTTCTTTTTTTGGGCGGCTTTTTGTAAACTGTCGCTTGGGTTTAGGGAAGTGAGCGGGCGGGCGGGTCGATCGGTAAAATTGGTTGGGTTCAGGGAAGGAGGAGGGCGGGTCGGCCGATTGGCCGGTCGCGCAGTCAATCATCCGGTCAGTCGGACAACGGCCTCTGGCGGGTTCACGCGAGAACAGCGCAGGCGCGAACTGCACTCGCGAGAGGCGTCTGAGGTGCGAAAAAGCGCACAACAGCGGCCTCTCGCGGATTCGCAGAAACAAAAACTGCAGCCGTACGTACCCGCCGGGACGTATTCCGCGGTCTCTAGAAACGTCCGCGAGACTACGTTTCCACAATGAGCCCGGGTTGTTTAAGGTGATTGTCACCAAAATTACACATTTAGGATTAGAGCCTAAAAAAGGCAGTGGGGGGTTTTAAACTTAAACTTTGCATACACACTTTAGGGACATCAGAGGATTGGTCCACTTTAAAGGAATAAATAATTTTAAAACATATTTAAATAAATCCCTTGGTGAAATTGAGACATTAGCAAAAAAATCACAATATACATGTATATACATATATACAAACTAATAAAAGATCAATTTAAATACACCTTATGCCTCTTCAGGGTGGCACTGAATACATTTTTAATCTGTATATCCTGCATTTTGTGTTCTGACAAGCTGTAAATAGATGTGAGGCATGGCTGCCTTCTTCACAAAAATGCACCTTTTTAAGTCCTTCTGCCTCTCCTGTTTTCAATAAGAGTCCAACATAATATTTAAGATACTAGTATTCAGCTTAAAGTGAAATTTAAAGGCTTAACTATGTTAATCAGATTAACTAGGCACGTTAGGGTAATGAGACGATAGCAAAAAAAAAATCTCACCTTTTCTTTTTTCAGCTAACTATAAACTAATGATTTGATTGAGATACAGTATATACAAAAGTGCATTGTAGCGCATGTCTGAGAAAACTTATAAGACCACACTCACACGAAACACAAACTCCAATGGACTCCCCACATCACTGGTGCTGCTCATGGCAGATTCTCCGATCACATTGCCGCTGAACGACGTGTCGATTATTAGCTTTTCCCTGCAGACCACAGGAAGAAAATGAAAATCAAGCTTTAAGCAAGACCACAACTGTGTTTGTTTAAAGGGATAGTTCACCCCAAAATGAAAATCTGCTCATTATTTACTCACCCTCATGTGGCTTACCGTTTATTTCTACTGTTGAACACAAAATATAGATAAAAGAAAATAATTTGAAGATATCTCAAAACCTATAACCACTGACTTCCATAGTAGAAAAAAAAACAAATACTATGGAAGGCAATGGTTACAGGTTTCCAGCATTCTTTAAAATATCTTCTTTTGTCTTTAACAGAGGAAAAAAAACTCAAAGGTTTGAAACAAATAAAGTGCAGACTAAATGATGACAGAGTTTTCATTTCTGGGTGAACTATTTGTAAAATGTAAATGCACACAGATTGTTTTATTGTTAATAACATCAAAGTACGTACAAAGAAAATGTAGTGAGGATCGTGTTCTTCACATTGAGGGTGACAAGAACAGGAAACAGATCCGCCTGTTCACTAATACTGAAGACAAACAAACATCATCACTGTCAGTGACCATATAGCGCATTGATTCAATATGTTATATAGTTCTCAGATATCTACATAGTAGGAAATATATGTGGCTTAGTTCAGAAAAATCTCCACAAATGGTTCAATATGTTCATTTATAACCACAGGACCATATTGAACATATTTGGAAAGGTTGTGAATATTAATAAGTTCTGCTCTGACGCTCTGCAATTCATGTCAGTACTTGTCTCTCACACTTGAAAATACAAACTTGAAAAATAATTACACTTCATTTGTTAAAAAATATTTGAACAAACTGAGTAGATGCTTTGTTAACAATCGTTTCATGTAAAGTGGTGGAGAGGTTTATTTTAGCTAGAAGGAGAGAGTTGGCTATCTTTAATCCAAAAGAGTAAACTATTTTGCGGTGTGTGGTGGATAAAATAAAGGCAAAATTATAAATAGACTTCTCAAACGGGGCTGACAGATGTATTTAGAGTTGCATTTTGAAGCTATATTGTAAATGAAAACAGACAAAATTAATATCAACTTTGACATAAACTGATGAGTTTAATAAAGTGTATTGGTGTCCTACAAAAATGAAGTGATATGGCACAATGAATAGACATGCATTAAACAATAATCAGCTGTTTACATGTGTTTGTTGCCTCATTACAAACATATGTGGCAAATTTCTTAATATACATGTTAAACTAACAAAAGATTCATTTAAACAGACTGTATGCTTCTTCGGGATGGCGATGAATACATTTTTAATCTGTATATCCTGCATTTTGTGTTCTGACATGCTGTAAACAGAGGTACGGCTGCCTGCTTCACAACAATGTTTCTTTTTAAACTTCCTACACTGAAAAAAGTGTTGCATGCAGAACTGTTGCAAACAATTTATTTGTGTTGTATTTAAACAATCAAATTAAATTTAATAATGTTCAACTTAATTTGTTTGTTTAAATTAATCCAAAATAAATTGTTTACAAACACCTAATGTTAAAAAAATTATTAAATCCTAGGAATCATCTTTGAGTATTTTTTTCAGTGTACCTTTCTCGTTTTTAAAATAACAGTCCAAGTTTAGTTTTGTTCATTTTAAGTTTAGATAAACTTAATACATTTTTTAAAAGATCATTGTTGTAATCTCAATATGAAATAATATGGCAAATCAAATGTTGCCTGCTTTTATTAATAGGATTTTACATTTACAAAATTGACATGAGAACAAGTAACAGGACTCTTATTGTCAAGCCACTCTATGCCTAGGTACACAGATTTTCATTACATGACAACTTTAAAGTTAGCATTAAACATGGGCTTGAGATAATCTTGTTGTGACGGACATGAAATAGCTTCCTAAATGAGAAATAATGAGCCGAGCGAAACTTTGTCCAATTGGAACTGATTAGATGTTGTTGATTGATCTCAATGATTGACATGTTGATCCTGCTCTCATGCTAGTGAACACCAATCAGCGAAGAGAAATTATTGAAGAGGAAGGGAGAGTTGTTGATATTAAAGATTATGAGAGTGCATCAATATGTACAGTTGAATCAGAATTATAAGCCTTCCGATTAAATATAAGTTCTTTAATATTTTTTCCTGAGAAGATTTTTTCATAAATGTCTAAACATAATCATTTTAATAACTCATCTCTAATAACTGATTTATTTTATCTATGCCATGATGACGATAATATTTTAATAGATATTTTCAAGACACTAGTATTCATCTTAAAGTGACATTTAAAGGTGAACTAGGTTAATTAGGTTGACTAATTAACTTAGTCGAGTCAAGTTAAGATAATTAGGCAAGTTATTGTATAACAGTGGTTTGTTCTGTAGACTATCATAAACAAAACAAAAATACTGCTTAAGGGGGCTAATTGTCACGGTCACCAGCGATCGTATGTCCTAAAATCGCTGGATCTCATTCACAATAACCATGGACTACAAATCCACCATGTCTGGACTACATTTTCATACATGCACTTCTTCACACTCACACATGCTTCCTCATTTAAACTGATTACTTGCACCCCCTGAGGATTGTCAACGACTGATTACACACACTATTTAAGCAACACACTCACACATTCACATTAGTCTTGTTAGCTGTATAGTGACATTACAACGCGTATTTCTTGTCTTGTTTTGCCTGTGTTTTGACCTTAGCCTTGTTTACCTTTTTGTCTCAGACTGGCACCTGCCTTCTCGCTTGTTATTTTGACTACGTTTCTGGATTGCCTTATACACCTGTTTGCACCCGTATTGACCATTGCTTGCCTGACTATCCGAATAACCTGCATGTGGATCCAAACTTTAGTTGTCAGTGTCACTCCCCTTGTTACACTAATAATATTGACCTTAAAATGGTTTAAAATACTTTTATTCTAGCTGAAATAAAACAAAAAACACAAAAAAAGAAGAAAAAATATTATAGGAAATACTGTGAAAAATTCCTTGCTCTTTTAATCATTTGTGAAATATTTAAAAAAAGAAAAAGAAATTGACAGGAGAGCTGATCATTCTCACTTTAAATGTATAAATAAAAATAATGTGCAAAGATATTTTATATAAACAATTTTAATTGTTTAATTAAGTAATTATCATTAAAAATAAATAGAATCCGTTTTGACTTAAAAAAAAAAGACCTGCAGACTGAAATGTCTTTAGCACACAATTTTTAGAGACACAGCATACTGTATAAAACAGAAACCATGCGAGTTGTTGGACTTACGTGGAGAGCTGCAGCTGAGATTGGATCTGCTCTGTATAAAGTGTAATACCAGAGGTCTCAAAGATGATTATAAATGAGACCTGAGAAACCAAGAGCGAGAGCAAATTACGCAAAACATATAAGCTGTACGGTCTGATTAGCTGAGCTCACTCAAATGGGCCGTGGAAAACGAGGGATGCTTTTCTTTTCATTTGCATGCAAATGTTCAGAAAGGTCACATGCTGGACGTGTTTGCAGAAAGAAAACAGACGGCTACCTTCTGATTGCTCTTAAATGGGTTTCCCAGATCACATATGACAGCCTCGTCTGCACTGCACTCCATATCAAAACCAGCCTGTAGTGATCAAGCATAAGATTGTCAAAAAAAAAACAACAACAATAAAATGATCTATTTAATAACAGGAACTAAATGAGCAAGTCGAATTCAGTTTTTTTTTGGCTACATTTTTATTTTGCAAATAACATTTCATCACAAAAAAACTATATATATTTTAATCACATTTAATTAATTAATAAAAAAACAATATACAGTATAAACTTTGTGATATATTACATTGTATGATGTGTTATATAATATTAGCTTATTTATTTATATTCTAGTATATAATATTATGTTCCATTATGTTAATTACTGCTTTAAATGAGAAGATTTGACAAGCAGAAAAATGAAATGAATAAATAAAATGTGAGTAAAACATATATTGAATTTTTATGGTAAATGTTATTAATTACTGCATTAAATGAGAAGATATGACAAGCATAATTAATTAATAAATTAATGTATTATGACTTAAAAAAGTAATTAATTAAAATAAGTTATTTAATTAATGTATTAATTAATTAATTAATTAATTAATTTTAATTAATTAATTAATATTTATAATTAATTAATTCTGCTTGTTAATTAATTAATTAATTCTATTTTTTATTTCAGTGATTGCAAACTATTTATATGGGTTAATTTAAACAAACAAATTAAATTTAGTAATGCTCAACTTAATTTCTTTGTTTGAATTCAGTCATATAAATTGTTTACAACCCCTTACTTTAAAAACAATTTGTAAATCCAAATGAATGTTTATTCAGTGCACAAAACTAATCTTAAATCAGAGGTAAAATCGTCCAGTAAATTTGATTAGCATTGCTGATATTGCTGCAGGGTATTGTGATTGTAAAAGAGCTCCTTCATGTGGCTCACCGGAGGACGGACGCCTGAGTATTTGAGTGAGTATGGAATGGAGATGTTGAGCGTGGCCTGATGAGCATCCTCCGCCGGTTTGTTCTCATCCGCTGTGTTGGAGACCTCCACCATCAGCACCAGCTTCTTCACATTACTGCTAAACTCCAGCGTCTGACTGTCAACAAACAGCACAACATTATTTATTACACATTACTCTTTCGGACAATCTTCTTTTTCGTACCGAGCCACAAGTCTGTGAAACACACTTCCAACTGGATTAATTGCATGTACAAATTTCCAGATGTTTTTTTAAGCCTGTCCAAAAAATAGTGGCTCATATCTAAACAATTATGTACATATTAAGGAAAGTAGCAGTTTTTGCTAAAGCCTGACACAAAACACATTTCCTTTTTTGAGGTAAGTGTATTGTTGTGCATGTCCCTGTCAAATAAATGAATGATTTCCAATTCAATTTCAAATTCAAAAAATAAAGATGATGGAGATATTTCAGAGATGGCTTATTACAAATATGTTAAATTCATTAATTTGTTTTATTTTTATCATATATGGTTTATACACTATATTTTTATTATATCATTTTATTTACTTTTTATTATTTTAGTTTATTAACTTTATAAAATTACTTTTAATTCTGTGTGCTGTTTTCACACCTGATTGTCATAGTATTAGTAATAAAAAAATACTTGCAATAATATAATATAATATAATATAATATAATATAATATAATATAATATAATATAATATAATATAGTATAATATAATATAATATAATATAATATAATATAATATAATATAATATAATATAATATAATATAATAATATTTAATAATATAATCTAATATTAATGTAATAAAATATAATATATAAAATAATATAATATTAATAATATTATATTAATTTAATCTAGTCTATTATAATCTAATCTAATATAATATAATATAAAATAATATATTATTATAAAATAATATAATATAGATATAATAAATTAATATAAAATAATATAATATTAATATAATATAATAAATATAATATTAATATAATATTAATATAATAATAATATAATATAATATAATATAATATAATATAATATAATATAATAATATTTAATAATATAATCTAATATTAATGTAATAAAATATAATATATAAAATAATATAATATTAATAATATTATATTAATTTAATCTAGTCTATTATAATCTAATCTAATATAATATAATATAAAATAATATATTATTATAAAATAATATAATATAGATATAATAAATTAATATAAAATAATATAATATTAATATAATATAATAAATATAATATTAATATAATATTAATATAATATAATATAATATAATATAATATAATATAATATAATATAATATAATATAATATAATATAATATAATATAATATAATATTTAGGTTTCCAACACTTTTAACAAAATTGAATGGTTAACTGTTCAATACAGAATTAAATAAAAACAATATGTAAAAACTTTGTTAAGCTTTAGATTTAGAATTTTATTGGGAAAAAATAATGACTAAATATATTGTTGTTTCCAAACAGTGGGCACTATGTAGTAAACCCTCCACCGTTTGACACTGATCCAGCATCTAGCCATTTCTCCTCCATCATGCTCACCTGGGAAAGGGATTGTAGTTTTCATCTGCAAACCTGGCCTTGAGCTGCAGGTTACTGCTACAACGGTTATCATCTCCACACTCCTTGTGGAAATTAATCTGAAGAGAAACACACAGTGCTACTATCAAGCTGTGTTTTCACTCGTGTCATTTCATTTTAAAATGTAAAGCTCATCTCTGTCCTTACCAGTGCCCAAATGAGTGTACATGACATCAGGAGCTAGGGAGCGGATTAAGACGCACCCTATGAATTCATACTATGTTCACATACTGTTTTACACATACTATATAGTAGAAAAGTATGTGATTTTGGATGCATTAGACTTTTGGCTGGACACATTCACTCCCTGATTAGCTCTTTTTGAGCATTGCCATCCATCCATCCATCCATCCATTGAGTCTCTGAATTGAAGTGACTATGAGAAGGTGTCTGGTGCATGCAAAGAGGAATTAGTGTGTCTTCTTCGAGTGGTTTGTCTGGCCCACTCATCTGTGCGAAGCAGTCAGAATTTCTCAATGTTTTCCCACACACATAGATAGTTTATAAGTACATTTTGTTTATTTAATAATTGTATATAGGCTAAAGTTCTCTACTATAAGTTTATGGCTACTTTTAGCTTCTGACATGCGTTTTCAGTGAATGGTAGTGGAAACTCCAGTATAATCGAGGATGGTTTTGAGATGTTAAAATGAAAACCCACTAGTGTAAATGTAACCTCTGGACTCACATCAACATGAGCTGAGCTGAAGATCACGCTGTTGTACAGAAATATAGCGTACCTCAGCTTTGTCGGTGAGGATCTGCTGTCCACTCAGCACAGGGAAAGAGTCTAGACTCTGTAATGTCTGCTGCGCTGCTGCTTTCTGTTGATTTAGAGACACGTTCAGACTGAACACTATGGGCTGAAGTTTGTCCGTCACTGGATTCTGGAGAGCACAGAAAACAACAACTTACTATTAAAATTTTGTTGGATATGGCGTTGCAAATAAGTTTACTTCTTTAAAAATAGAAAACTAAATAATAATAATATTTATTATCATTATCATTATTATTGATAATAATAATAATAATAATAATGATAATAATAATAATAATATACAATCATACTATAAATTTATTATTATTATAAAAAATATAAAAATATATAATATATAGTGAATATACATAATGTATATAATATATGTATTAAATAATTAAAATATATTAACTGCACAGGATGTTATTATTATTTAAATAACAAATAAATACTATAAAACACACTATATTGCATTATAAAATTTATTTACAATAATTATTAATATATAATATATTTATATTTTTAATTAATAGTCTTAAATTCAACAGTTAATATAATAAATTAATATAAAATTAATTACTAATATATATTTAATAAACAATATATTATTAATTCAGTTAATATGTAGGCAATAATAAAAAATTATAAATATAATAATAAATATAAACACTATTAATTTTCCCAGAGATGGGTTGCGGCTGGAAGTACATCCGCTGCGTAAAAAAATTGCTGGATAAGTTGGCGGTTCAATCCTCTGTGGCGACCCCGAATCAATAATGGGACTAAGCCGACAAGAAAATGAATGAATGAATGAATAAAACTATTAATATTAAATGAATAATTACAAGATACATGTCACAATAATATAGTATTTGTTATTTAAATATTTTTATTAATACACAATACAAATAATAGACTATAATACATGATTAAATTAATATAAAATAATTATTTATATATAATTCATCATATTCTTAATATTATTAAATTCCATAGTTAAAGTATATAGCTAATAAAAAATGTATTACCCATAGTAATAATAAATAAATACAAACACAACTATTAGTAAATTAATAATTATAAAATATAAAAGTAACAATAACAGAATATTTAATAAGCATATAAATATAATAATAATAAAAATATAAACACAAAAAACATTTATTGAATAATTACAAGATACATGTAACAATAATATAGTATTTATTTGGCATTTAAAAAAATTCTATTATTACACTTTACAATTAATACACTATAATACATCATAAAAATAAATATATTAATTAATAAAATATAAATAATGAATATTATTAAATTCAACAGTAAAAATACGCAGTTAATGTAAATTTTATAAATATAATAAATAAATAAATATAAACAAAATAAATTTTTGAATGAATGAATAAAAAATACATCTAAAAATAATATAGTATCTATTTATTATTTAAATATGTTCTCTTATAATAGAGTATTTTATTATAGAAATTGCTGAAATTTTAATATGAAATATTAATATAATAAATTATGAATGTAATAAATATTATATAGAATAAATAATAATTTTCTCACTATAATACATAATAAATTAACATATTGTTTATGAATATTTTTTAATTAATATTCTTAAATTCAACAATTAAATAATATATAAAATAACAAATGCATAAAAATGAATATTATTCATTTAAAAAATAATTATTAATAATTAACCTTATATTATAATTAACTGAACAAAAAATATTCATGAATCATTCATCTATTTTTCCATAAATCTTTTTCTGAAACATTATATGCACTGACAGTAAATACAAATTGACATATAGATTATTGACATATAGATATAATTTTAATATCGGTGTGAAAAAGAATGTGTACAGTGTGATCATAGACTCTCACATTAACACTGAGCTCCAGCTCTTGACAGGAAGAAGCAGAGAAAGACAGAAGGCCTGTAAACGTGCTTTGCTTGTTGTCTATAAAGCGTACTCGAGCACCTCTGCGATTCTGGTCAGCATCTATCGTAAACTTCACAGCTGAAGCAGAGAGAAACAAACAAAATGAAGCACACAATCAATCCATGAAAACACTCATCAAACATTCCTGAATCAGGCCTTCACTTACTGATTTCCTTCCTGAAGTTGCTGTTTCCATTGCTGAGAGTGTAACTGAAGCACACCTTCACCTTTATGCTGGAAACACACATTGAAAGCATTCTTCTCTTTTCAAATGAACGCCAAGAAATAATACCATCCTTTTACAGAATATACAACACAGGTGAAATCAAATGCTTTTGATAATAAGGTCTTTTCTCCAAAAAATCATCCTGAAAGTTTTAATATAAATGTATATACATAAATAAATGAATAAATAAATAAATTTAATATAAAATTATTTATTTGTTATAGAATTTGTTTCTATTAATGCACTATAATACATTATCAAATTAAATTAATCAATAAATCGTCCAATAAATCATACTGCAAATTTTAATATAAATATATACACATTAATACAAATAATATAAATGTAATAAATAACTATAGCAAAATTAATATTAAATTAATAAGTGAAATATAAGTATTTATTTGTCATTGAAATATTTTCTATACACTGTACAAGTAATACACTATACTATAATACAATATAGAATTAAATTAATAAATAAACCATCCTGCAAGTTTTAGAATTATGAACAAAGCATTTATTTAATCAAGCTAATTAATTGTTAATTACATGTAAAATCAAATTTAATATAAAAAAACTATTAACATTATAAGCAATTAAAAAGAGTATATTAAAATAATGGAAAAAAGAAACCTATGTCATGACTCTTTTAATCTAAGTGAAACATTTGTTGGAAGTCGTCTTACCAGGAAATACCACACTGGCTTGGAATCACAATCTTTGGCTCCACGGTGAAGTTTTTGGACAGATGAATGACTGGACGAGACCTAAAAAAGTCATCACATATCCTCAGTTTATCTTGCAGAACTCACTGACTCACTTGTAATTTACTTCTTTGTTTGTTGTTGTTAATTATAACAATAATACCAAACGAAAATACATTTATTTATAATAATAATATTAATAATAATAACAATATTGAATAATAATATAAATAATAATAGTAACAACAACAGCAACAAGTATTATAATTTTATTGGCATTATTATTATTATTATTATTATTATTATTATTATTATTATTATTATTATTATCATCACTATTGGTATAATTGTAATTAAATGTATACTTCTACTACTACTACTACTACTCCTAGTAGTAGTAGTAGTAGTAGTAGTATTATAATGCATTTATTAATTTATTGACACATTTAATAAATTTTTACATAAACATGAATTATACAAAATTTTTAAATGTATATAGTATAATAAATACATAAATGCAGTATACTTATGTATTATTAATAATACATAAATGCAATTTATTTCATTCATGTTTATAAATGCATTAGTTGAAATATAATGTACAGACTAAATAAATCAATGTAAAGTTACAATAATAACTCTTTAATACATATTTTGTAGTACCGTATTATAAGCCACTTTTGATTACTATTAACTGAAAAAGGAGGAGCATTATTATTTTTATGATTTTCTATGTTTTATGTACATGCATAAATGTCAATTTTAATTAGTATATTTAGTAAAAGCAGCAATGTTGAATGTAAAAGTCTGTAAATATATCAAAACTGAAAACAACAACAAACAAAAAAACACTGTGGCAAAAATATATTTATATATATTCCAATAATAATAATAATAATAATAATAATAATAATAATAATTATTATTATTATTATTATTATAGCAAGAAATTCTCACATTGGGACAAATTATATATAATATAAATAATATATATATATATATATATATATATATATATATATATATATATATATATATATATATATATATATAAATATTTATATATAATATATATATTTAAATTGCATATAAAGAAAATTTCATATGTACACAAGAGGGATTATGTGATGATGACATTCAGAAGACTTCAAGTAGGCATACATTTTGTATTTATATACAGTATTTAGAGTCCTGCAAAATCCCTGTGAATAATATGAACATCTACTGTATTAAACACTAAACAGCGAACCTCAAGAGTGCGATGCGGTCATCCAAAGAGCCCACCAAAATATCTGGATAATCATTTCCATCCATATCCATTCCTCCACTGAGAGAATAACCAAACGTCTGAAAACCACTGGGACCCAATGACTTACCCTCGATCACCTGACAGAAACACACACACACACATGAAAAATCATGTCAAATTGCTGTTGCTAGATCATAATTCAGCAGTATAATTATATAATATGAAACTGTAGGCAATTTTAGATATAAAGTCGTTCCATACAAATCCCATGATGCTTTGCTTTACCTGGCTTGGTTCTTTAGTTATTCCACTTTTACTTCCCATCCATATGTAGACTTTTCCAGAGTCCTGGAATGGAGCGCCGACAGCAATATCTGAATGAAGAAACCAAAACACAAGATACACACACACACACACACAAAACATAACTAACACTGCATCACCTCTAGAGGGCAGCATGACTATACAAAACACAAGAAAGGACTACACTCAAACTGTCACAAGTGTCTAGTAGTTTTTTAAAACACTACACACAATTCTCTGCATTTGGCACAATTTCCATGCAAATAAAATAGCTTGTTTTCACAAGGAACACTCTGTCTGTTAAAAATTTTAAGTCAGTTGTCCTTCTTTGCATACTAACTCATCACACGAGTAAACATCTGTCTCAAAAAATTGCAGTTTAGAAATCAGTGCTCATCTGGTTCACTGCCCACACACGTTTTTTAGGTTGGTTAATTCCATCCATATTCTCCATTTCTCAGTCCTATTGAGGATTTTTTTTTCTGCCTGGGGTGGAAAGTGTATGTGGATGTTTACCAGTGATGGGTTGGGTTAAGCCAAAAAGAAAATGAATGAATGAATGAATGAATAACACTATATAAAAGCAAACTGAAAACCCCCCTGCATAAAGGCGGGATGGAGGTGTTTTATAACCTATTAAATAATACTTTTTGTAACATTTTACAGTTTTTCAATTGTTTACACACAATTTTAAAAATCGGGTTCTTTTTTTTCAAAATATAACCGCAATTATTCAAACAGCACACTCAATTTGAAGAATTCCTAGATTGTTTGCAAAATGACTTCAGTCAAAATATTTACACATATTTGTGAAAATGCTATTATTTTTCATTTCACCAACACAGTCCTCAATGATCAGACACTATTGCAGGCAGTTTCACACTGCTGTGATAAATAAAAAACACATTTGTAAAAAAAAATTTTAGGAAACAGCATGTGCTAGATTTTTGGGCAGACATTGTTATGTCGCAACCCATCTCTGGGAAACATCCACACACTCTCATTCACACACACACTCATACACTACGGACAAATTCACCCAATTCACCTATAGCACATGTCTTTGGACTATGGGGGAAACAGGAGCACCCGGAGGAAACCCACGCAAAGGCAGGGAGAACATGCAAACTCCACTGTGTCGCCCTATTATTATTATTATTATTGTTGTTATTAAGTGGGATATAATGTCAATGCTAAATAATCGAATTATGTTTGAAAGAAGGAATTTGCAACCATAGTTAACAATGGTTTTCTTAACCTTGATTTAACTAATTCTGCAGTAGGCACTAGTTCTCATATCAAGGAGAGTGGACCAAGCGACAACAACACAATAAGCCCAGTAAAGAAATAATAAAATGGGTGCAGCGGGTAAAAGCTAACGAGGAGTTTCTTATTGGGCTAATAAATGTTAAATGTTGTTCTGTCGTCGTCCCTGCTCTTCCCTAACTTTTGCATTTTCACAAGTCTGTAGAAATATGCTCTAGCCTTTTTCAAGCAGCTTTACCTTGAAATCCGTCCTGATTGACATCTCCGACCGCAGCAACGGCAAACCCAAACCCAGATCCCTTTTTACCCTTCAGAACCAGGCTGGCTTTTTTCTGGAAGGATCCGTTTTCGTTCATAAAAATGTAAACAGCACCTCCTTCCTCCTTATAGCGGTCGAAATAAAATGGCGCGCCGACGATCAGGTCATTCCAACTGTAGGAACAGGCAAAAAAAAAAAACACACAGGACGTGTCTGAATTAGCACTGTTTACTTTCACATAAGCTTCAATAAGAATGAGAGCATAGAAAAGCATTGAACCGTGTCTCTGTTTAGACGCTTAAATATGAAGCTCGACAGGATCTTTGAAGAAAGTGAGATATACTTTGGTTGATTTCCTTCAGATTCAGTGAAGCGTCGGACAGATCAGTGTTTGTGATGACAGCTGATCACTTGGTATTAAAATAACCATATCAGTATGTTATGTTTCACCAATAGTACAAAGATGAAATGTGACTAAAAAAAAGCAGTAAGTAGTGGATGCAAATATACAAATAGACAAGTGTATGTAGAGCTATATTACTATATACAATTTTATATGTAGAGCTGTTATGTGCAATTTGCCATGTAAAGTGTGTTGTTAAATAAGTGTATATGTGTATAAAAGTGTATGGCAAGTAGTGATGTTTGTTCCACAATTATTATTATCAAGTGTTCATGAGATGGATTGCCTGAGGAAAGAGTTTTTGTGTCGGGCTGTTCTGGTGCGCAGAGCTCTGTAGTGTCGACCAGAAGGTAACAGTTCAAAGAGGCAGTGTGCTGGGTGTGAGAGGTCCAGAGTGATTTTGGCAGCCCTTCTGCTTGCTCTGGATAAGTATAGTTCTTGGATAGTAGGGAGGGTTGTACCAATGATTCGCTGAGCAGTCTGAATTTTTCATATAGTAATTCATTTGTATCTAATAAATGTTTTTGACATTGAAGAAACCCCTCTCCTGACCTTTTTTTATTGAACAATAATTCCTACAACACCTGGGAATGTCGCAACTGACCAATCAGAATCAAGAATTCCAGATATAATAAATGAACAATAATAATACACCTTGTACCCCTCAAGAACAAAGATTATCATAACTGAGTTGCACAGTGACCTACTCGTCATTGTTGAGGTCTGTTACTGCCAAGCAGCTGCCAAAGTACGACCCTATTTGTTCCCCTGTGATCGTCATCAGCTGCTTGAGTATCAAGTCTTGTTTGTCGGCCAGGATCACTGAACCCTTGAATTCATCTCTGGGAGCCCCCATCACCACAGTGAACACAGAGCGATCCAGTAACTTTATGTCCTCCAGCACAGAGTAACCTGAACACAGACATGAGGACAGTCAATCATCTGTGTGCAACCAACAGCCCACATGCAGAACACTGAAACTGAAGCCAGTCCAGCTACTAATAAGTTCAGTTACAGTCAAGAGACACTTTTGAGAAAGAAGACAAATGATTTATACAGTTAAAGACCAAATTGTTAGCCCTCCTAAATATTTATCCCTAATTTCTGTTTAACAGAAAGATTTTTTCAACACATTTCTAAACATAATAACTAATTTCATTTATCTTTGTCATGATGACTACATAAAAATTGACTAGATATTTTTCAAGATACTAGTTTTCAGCTTAAAGTGACATTTAAATAATATTGACCATAAAATGGTTTTAAAAAATTAAAAACTGCTTTTATTCTAGCTCAAATAAAACAAATACGCATATTAATCAGAAGAAAAATATAGGAATTACTGTGAAAATTTCCTTGCTCTGTTAAACATCATTTGAGAAATATTTAAAAAAGAAATTCACAGGAGGGTTAATAATTTTGACCAACTTTATATACAAAAAATGTGATGCAGTGCAATGCAATTATTGAATAAAATTATAGTAATATTACAGATAAATGACAACAATTTAAAACAATCAATTTTTGAAAAATACTGATAATGTTATTGTAATTTTATTTATCAGTTAACAACACTAGCAGTAAAAGAAAAACTGAAAGTAATGCACAGAAATATTTTGATAGACAACTGATTCTATCTAGAGAATAGATGATTTGACAATTGTATAATTCAATTAAATATATAGCCGAAATAAACACATAAAATACATTCATCTAGATTAGGGTGACAGAATTAGCTCAACAACAAAGTTAAACAAAAACATAAAAAATTACATACAGTAAAAAAAAAAAAAATTTGAAGAAAAAAAAATTCACTGATATGCGAGAAACTTTCATTCACATTAAAATTACTTATGAAATGAACATAACCAGTCTGATTATTATTATTATTAATACAGATTATTGAAAGAACAGGGGAAAAAAAACACAAGCAGCTTTATTTTTAAAAATTACATTTAAGAGTTCACACTTAGCTGATGATTGATTGTAAAGCTTGTTTGGCATGCTGACCCGGGAGAGATCCCTGAGCTCATAAGATCCTCGAGCCCGGGGCTCCCTCCCGTTTGCAAGGCGAGTTTGAGCTCAGGTAGATTTGAGAACTCCCCTGCTGTAGTAGCTAATGAACAGATAGTGATTGCTCTTAAGAGATAACTACTTACTAGGAGCATGTCTATGGTGCTGATTTGGATTAGTCAATTAACTTAAGTTGCATGTTTTTTGGACAGGGGGAGGAAACCGGGGAACCTGGTGGAAACCCACGTGAGCACGGGGAGAGCATGTAAGCTCCACACAGAAACGTCAGCTGGCTTCATAAGGACTAGAACAAGTGATGTTCTTGCTGTGAGGCAACAGTGCTAACCACTGGGCCACTGTGCCACCCATCTAGGAAAGGAGGAGGAGCAGGGGTGGAAGGGGGATTCTTCGTTATATGGAACTTAGGGTATTTATAGTGGTTTAGGATTAGTGAATCATAAATTGAATAATGAAGGACCAGCCGCAAGCAATCATAAACATGTGATCCTCTAGAAAATAGTTTATAAATAAACATAACTTAGCAACATACAAGTCAAAATCAAAAGATAAAGTACACACCTATGTAGATGTTGAACTTGTCCTCACCCAGTTTACCAAAGCTTCTATCATTGGCATCGCCAGCATAATCGGAGTCTGTGTCTCTGCACTTCATATGGACGGTGCCTATATGAACAGAAAAATCCCATTTATTAACAATATGGCCCTGAAGATACTCTTCACATGTTAATATGGATACCTGATTTGCCCCATACTGCAAGGCGTATATGCACTATTAAAACGAATAATTTCGTATTTGTGGAATCTTCAAAATACAGTAAAAAATTATGCATTTTTTTTATGTGAGTATGTTTTTAAATAATCAAATTGTTAAATTGGTTCATCAAAGAATCAAACACTTGAAGACTTAATAGGGCATTTATTTTCCAAAAAAAAATGTCCACAGCTGGTCAGATTAAAAATGTTTCTCACTTGTTCAAATAAAATTTTACAGTAAAACACTCTTTAACTGTACACTTCAGATAATACAGAAGTAAAAATAACATTAAAACAAAAAAACAACAAAAAAGTACATCTATATTTACGACTTCTCTTCTTATTCATCTATTAACACATTTCCAACTCCACCATAATTAGGGAACTATTTGAAAGGGCCTCAAACTCCCTCAAAAATGTTGCATTTATCTTTTTGCTCTTCAGTGTTTGAACTCTCAGTAATGATTAAATCACACTGAACTGAGCTAAACTGAACTGTACTGAACTTAAACACTAAAAACTGAACTACACTGTTCCAGTTACTATGACCATTTATGTGAAGCTGCTTTGACACAATCTACATTGTAAAAGCGCTATAGAAATAAAGCTGAATGGAATTAAATTGAATTTTAATGTATAGGTTATCTTTTCCATTAGCTATGTTTCCATCCAAAAATGCGAATGAACTTTATGCGCAAAACTGGATTATCCCATAAAAGACATGCGATCATTAGATAGGACAGTAATGAGACAGGAATCGAAGTTGGAGAGAGAGAGAGGGGGGTAGGGTTCACTCAAAGCGAACTTCCGCGAACACATCGATGACGTCACATTCGCCGTGTGCACTGAGTTTAATAACAGAAAGCTGATTGACAATTGCAAGTTGACCTTTTTGTAGTTGTAATACCGCAAATTACAATTGGACTAGTGAAATAAAGACCTACAACACCCCAAAAACCTAGCAACAACAACAAGAATTGAGATGTGCATTAGATGTAGTGTTACAAGCACATCGCAAAAATAAGACCTGTGCAAAAATATTTAAGACCTAGAACAGCGAATTTAAGACTTTTTAAGGCCTTAAATTTCGTTTTTTAAATTATAGACTTTTTAAGACCCCGCGGAAACCATGATAGCTGATTAATCATGTGGGTGGATGATTACAGCCTTCTGAGCCTACCAGTAGACACCCAGGACACCCCCATGGATACCCTGTACAACAATATTTTTAAATACTTGATTTTATTATACCTGTTTTTCGCAGCTTTTGCACTAAAACCACATTTTGTGATAAAATATTCAGCAATTATAGCAACTCACAAATGTCCTACAGTCAAATGCGCTAACTCACCCTGCCACGTGAAGCTGCCAGGTGTCCCAAAATACACATCTTTCTCCGTCATGCCTCCTGATATACCCATGTTACACATGCCCTCCAGGTCCTGGTCGTGGTTGAAGTCGCACAGCTCGTAGGTTTCCGACTGCCAGTAATCAGATGGGTCGTAGCTCAGGTCATTGCCCCGCACGTAACATTTGCCCACCATACGCTGCTGCTCTTCTGCGCCCAGCAGTTTTTTGACATAGCGATGACCACATGCCTGCAAACATGAGAGATGCACATGAGGAGTTTTGAATAGAATCAGTTTTATTCATTCTATATCCTGACTAGAAATGATGTTAATTGGTCTGCAGGGAAATGTTTAATTTCTTCTAATTTTACCAACCAATCTTTTTCAGGCTAACATGGCTAATTTCACTTCCTGTCCAGCGCACCTCACTTGTGGAGTTCCACAGGGATCTATATTAGCTCCCAGTCTATTTTCTTTACATATGTTCCCACTATTTTTGAGAAATATAGGATATTGCTTTATTGTTTTGCAGAAAATACATAAATATACCAGCCGGTGAAAAAGGATTCATTCGAGACCTTAATAGTGGATGTCTGTACATTGTTTTAAAATCTTAGTGAATGAATCCAAGACTGAAATCATTCTATTTGGGCCAGCATCTGCTACGGCGCTCCTTAAATTAAGCTAAAAGAGTTTGAATCAAATATGAGATCATGTATCACAAACCTGGGCATCCAAACTGATAGCCAGCTAAAAATGGATAAACAAATACATTTAGCGGTTTCGTTTTTCGACAGGAAATCAATCATCTATGCTGTGATATTTTCCCATCTAGACCAGTATCAGTAAGTCATCGATGAATAGGCTGTCTCGAACTAGATCCAAACTGGCCAAAAGCTATGGAATAAGTCCCAATTGCTATTACAACGAAACTGGCTATTATTAGATCCACCTACTCTCAGTTTCTGATATTGTAGGTTTGTGTTTAGTTTTAACATCTTTACATGTGTTGTGTTATATTTACCGGACACATCCTGGGCTCTATTTTGATGATGTGAAACGTCCAAAGCGCAGGGCGCAAAAGCATTAAGGGCGTGTCAGAATCAACTTTTGCTATTGTAAGGACAGAAAAATCCACTTTGCGCCGTGGCACACGGTCTAACAGGGTTGAGCTTATTCTCTTAATGAGTTATAGGTGTGTTTTGAGAGTAAATCAATCAGAGTCTCATCTCCCATTCCCTTTAAGAGTCAGTTGCATCGCTCCATGGTGCATTTGCTATTTACATGACAGACTTTATAAGTGGAAAACTGAAGACTTCACTAGAGAGAAAAAATAGCATTTACAGCGTGAGAATGAGAGCTGAGCATCCTCATTCTTTACTTTCACTTTCACTCTCGTGGATAGGGAAACGTGTTGTACTCACAGACATCCATTAGCCTGTATATGATTAATTTCGTTTGTCAAGTGCAAAGATTTGTTTCAAAACTATTTCTAATTTCAGTTCTAATTTCCAGCAAACGAATAAATGAACAATAATAACGAAGTGTCTTCAAACAACTGAGCTATTTCCAAATACACATGCTGTGCCCCATATGGTTTAAAACGTGACAGGTGGGCAAATCTAAGCTTGTTTTTAATACAACAAATATAACTATACATTTAATAAATAACACAGCTAATAATAATAATAACATTATACAAAAGAAAATTGTCATGAATAAACTGAAAAAAAAAACCCGAGATGAAGAAGGCATGAAGACAGTGTTTTTTATATTTATATAGGCTCGAAAATAATAAGTTTTGTAAAATTTTATTACTTTAATTATTTTTCATTTGTAAAGATATTTGCGTGTTGCTGTACATCCTGTGCGTATTAAGCAATGTGTAAGCAAAGTGCACAAATAACATGCTCTGCGCTGGACTAGACCCGGTTTGATCTGGTCTATTGAACAGTGTTTTTTAGTTCCTCAAAATACAACACGCCAGCAATGCGCCTCAACACACCTCATTTTTTAGACCAGAGCGCCTATGGGCGCACATATGAGCGCAAATGCTTTTGCTATTTAAACAGCGTAGTGCAAAATGTCAAAACCTCTCTTGCGCCAAGCTAAAACTAGCAAACAACAATTGCTTCGTGCCTTGCACCGCATTGCGCTGCGTGTATGATAGGGCCCCCTGTTTCTTCTGTGCACTTTAACCCATGTTTCTTGCTTCTATGAACAAATTGTTGATTATAAAATAAAAAAGGAAGAAAGATGCATGTCGTCTCACCAGCACACGGCCTCCATTCCTCTGACTGGCCACGGTCACTCCTAGCCACATTCCCTCCAGCATATCCGTCGACTTTGCTGGAGGACAAACAAGCAAAAATATTCTGAAAAACATTCATATATCTACAGTACATGTTATCTGGTACGACTTACAAGCATATTCTGTATTTTCTGTTGTTAAAACAGAAATATTCAAATACTCTGAAATCAAGATCTATTTAATCTACACCCAAAATGACCAAGGCATCTATCTATCTATCTATCTATCTATCTATCTATCTATCTATCTATCTATCTATCTATCTATCTATCTATCTATCTATCTATCTATCTATCTATCGATCTATCTATCTATCTATCTATCTATCTATCTATCTATCTATCTATCTATCTATCTATCTATCTGTCTGTCTGTCTGTCTGTCTGTCTGTTCTGGACAATGGGGTTGAGGATCCAATTGCAGCTATCTTTATTAAACAAAGAACGTTCAGGCTGGTAGCGGTCAAACACAGGAGCTAACAGTATCATAAAGGGCAATCCAAAGGAGTAGTCAAAAGCAGGCAAGAGATTGGTTCAGGCAGCTAATATAAAAAAAATTATAAACAAGGCGAGGGTCTGGAAAGATGCAAGGAAAACCAAAGTAAATTAAACGCTTTGTAATGTGCACATATTAACAAGACTCAGCAACTAGTGTGAGTGAGTGAGGTGTATTTATAGTCCTGGAAATCAGTGCTGACAAGCTTCAGCTGTGTGTCTTTGTATGTGTAATCAGGGGAAACTGGAGCAGGTGTGTGTGAGGTGCATGACAGTATTTGTAGTCCATTTGGAGGGAGATTTGTAGTAATAAGGTAGGGTAATTAGGCAAGTTATTGTATAACAACGGTTTGTTCTGTAGACTATCGAAAAAATTTTAGCTTAAAGGGGCTAATAATTTTGACCTTAAATGTTTTTAAAAAAATCAAAACTGCTTTAATTCTAGCCGAAATAAAACAAATAAGACTTTCTCCAGAATTAAAAATATAATCAGACATACTGTGAAAATTTCCCTGCTCTGTTAAACATAATTTAAGAAATATTTAAAAAAGAAAAAAAACATTCAAAGGGGGGCTAATAATTCTGACTTCAACTGTATATATATATATTACTATCTATCTATCTATCTATCTATCTATCTATCTATCTATCTATCTATCTATCTATCTATCTATCTATCTATCTATCTATCTATCTATCTATCTATCTATCTATCTATAAGACAGCTTTTAGTACAAGCGTTACAAAATTGATTTCATTACAAATGTTTACTACTATAAGGAACATAGTTGTGAAAGTCTAAGTAAACGTAAGTGGCTAGTTATTTTTTTAGTATATCATCTGCAAGCCTAGATGGAAAAAGTTAACTGCGTTTAGGAATTTGAAAGCTTATGACAAACACTTATGACAAAAATGATAATACGGTAAATAACAATAAAATTCCAACATAACTGAGTTCTGAGTGCTTCTATGAAAATTTTCAATGCAAAATTATTATCGGCTACAGCTACAATCTACACAACACTGCTGACAAAAAACCTAAAATGTATTTAACTAATAAAATTCTCACACACTACAAAGAATTACTGAAATGCTAAGAGTCTGTTTAACTCTACAGAGTTACTTTCAGTTTCTGTGCCAAACGTATCATGTTAATAGTGAACTAAACGCCTGCCAGCAGCAGAAGCCCTGACAGAGGAGGAAAGCTGAAGCTCTTCTGAATAACATGCAGTCAAACAGCACTCAGACAGGTGAACTTTACGGCTGCTGTGTTCAGGCTTGTTTTATGTCTAAACTTGGATCGGGGAATTTTGGAGGAATAGTTAAGGCTGTCTGAGCACTCCAGATCACTATTTTTAGAGTGATTTGAAGAGGTTAGACATACTATCTAATCTGTAAACGGAATGAATAACTCTTTGATCCAGCCCAGGCTCATTGAAAATATGTACCTCAGTCTAAATTTTTGCGAAACAGAAAATACGTTGCTCCGGGTACGTTTTGTTTCACATTTCAGATAACAAATCCACTAGAGGTTGCTGTCTATATTTTTGTGAATCTGAAATATGTTACTTAGGTTCCGTTTTGTTGTACTTTTCAGATAAACGTCATGCCTGTACACATCCACGAAAATGCAGGGCCTGTTGTTCTGATTAACTAGCACACCACTGAGCTATTAGTGTTTTCAACCAATTAGTGTTTTCCAACACCCAACCAATTAGTGTTTTCAAAAGCAAATGTGAGATAAAAGTGCAATGTGACCACTTAGTTTTACATGAATATTTAAAATGTTTCTGTAAATATCAATAGTTTCAAAAGAAACAAAAGTGTCATACTATAGTCTTTATTTTTACTAGAAACTTCCCTTCAATGTTTGTTCAAGTAAGTTTTTTGCATTTTCACAAAAATGCATTTTTTCACAAAAATATAAAATGTTAAAGCACATATTTCAAACAAGCCAGTTTCAATGATTCATATTAACACTATAGTAAAATCCATAGTAAAATTACTTTTTGCTCCTAAAGTTGCAAAACCAAAAACCACCCGGCTATACAGAGTCCAGACAGCCTTATAACACGCTGTCTGTAAAAACACACAAATAGACACACAGCACCAAGTGATACAGACAGCATCACGCTCTTTCTCATTCACACACGTACATGCACACAGCACCAAGCTCTCTCTCTCTCTCATTCACACACATACACGCACACACATAGACAGAAACAAACAAGCTAAACGCAGCATCATGCTCTCTCTTTTACACACATACATACGCGTGCTCGCTCGGGAGTCCGGAGCGATATTCTTAGACCGCCCGCACCTATTCAAAATACACCAGTTACCGACCGCTCCAGCGCTTTAATCGGAAATTTATTCCCGCACCGCAAGAAATCTGGTCGGGTCCCGCGGACTGCAGACCTCTACAATGATGTTTGAAACAATGATGTTGAAAATGTAGCTTTGATCACAAATAAATTTGATTTTAAAACAGAACATTTTTTTTAATCATACAAATATTTCCCAATATTGCCAAATTTATTTTTATATTATTTATTTTATTTCACATATTTTATAAAGGTATTGCATTTTGGTCAAATAAATGCAGGTTTATTTCATAAATCTTTTTCTTGTTTTGTATGGATAAAGATGTACACACTGCAAAAACGATTTTCCTATTTTGAGTTTTTGTCTTGTTTCTAGTCCAAATAACAAAAAACTTTTAAATCAAGAAACATTTTCTAGACCAGCAAAAATATTGTCTTGTTTTTAGAAATAATATGCCAAAATGAAGCCAGTTTTCCTTAAAACAAGTTAAATAATCTGCCAATAGGTTAAGAAAAATAGTATTTTTATAAACAAAATCGGAAAAAAATAAAAATTTTCTTACCATATTGGCAGATTATTTAACCTGTTTTAAGGAAAACTGGCTTCATTTTGGCATATCATTTCTAAAAACAAGACAATAATTTAGTTTGTCTAGAAAATATTCCTTGATTTAGATATTTGGACTAGAAACAAGACAAATCTTAAAAAGAAAAGCCTTTTCTGAAGTGCATTTATGTATTAGATTTAGATAATTGAAGTTTGCTCCTCGACACTGTCGCCATTGGCTTGCTTGGTTTGGGACTTGTGGAGCTGCACATCGATGGATTTGCTCTACAGTGTTTGGACATTCAGCAGTGAAATTAAACCACACTGAACTGAACTAAACTGAACTTAAACTCTGAAAACTGGACTGATACTGTTTCAATTTACTATAATCTTCTATGTGAAGCTGCTTTGACACAATCTACATTGTAAGAGCACTATAGAAATAAACATGACCTGAATTGAATTGAACAACAAGGCTTACCAGAGTTTCCCGCAAGCACAGCTTTATAATAGAGCACATGAATACCTACGTGGACTGATGAGGTCCATGCTTCCGCAGTCATCCTGGTTAACAGTGATGGGACAATAATACACGGCTCCAGTTTCATTAATTTTAAATTTACTGAGTTGAGGGTGGGCTTTTTCTTGAGGGGCTCCGACTAACAGCCTGTGGAGGAACAGAAAAACACTCAATAAAACACACATATACATCAACAGTGAAAAATATAAAGCTTTCCTCCAGAATACAGGCTATTTTCTTATACTGAACAATTAATCTGCATACTTTTAGAGCCCATAAATGGGGCTGTTTGTGCAGTGAAGTAAGTTGGAAAGTAATTGTTTAAATTGCACTTTAGGCTTGAAAATAAATAATGCATACTGTCATCATAGCAAAAAAAAAAAGGTCCCACTTTATATTAAGTGTCCTTAACTACTATGTACTTACATCAAAAAATAAATACAATGTACTTACTGTGTTCATAAAGTATTTGAGAACACTTGTGGTGCTCTTGAGTTGGGATTGAGGTTTGGTTAGGGACAGGTTTGGTGGTATGGGTAGGTTTAAGGGTGGGTTAAGGTGTAAGGGATGGTCAACAGTGTATTTACAAATGTTATTACAGAAGTTAATTACAGATGTAATTACATACAGGTATTTAATCAAGCTTAAGTACACAATACATACATGTATTTACACAATAAGTACATTGTAACAAACTTAATTCCTGTGTAAGTACATATTTGTTAAGGCCACATAATATAAAGTGGGACCAAAAAAAATAAATAATAATTTCACAAGAGGACTAATAATTTTCACTTCAATTGTATTCAGCAATAAACAAAGCAAAAAAAAACATTGAATATATACAAGTTGAACATAAGATGTAATAACGGTGTTTGCTCTTTTTAATGACTCAGGGCTTCAGAGTCATGCTTTGCTTTGACCTTCACAGTCAGACCGCGTCACAGATGGGGGATTTTATAGGGGTTGCTAGGTAGCAAGAAAGTGGCACGTTTACATAGTAAACAGTGAAAACTGGTATTTGAGCTCAAACAGAAAATAAATCAGGCAAACTGCTTTGTTAAATCAAGGGGGAAAAGAGTTCACACTACTGTTTGGGTCATTTGTTTTGGTCGTTTGAGTCATCTAGCAGGCCAACGTGATAATAGGTGTTTCAAAATTCAGTATGAGACTCTGGCATGTTAATTGTTTTACACTTACAGGACTCACAGCTCAAATTTTGTTTGATATTACTTTATAAATATATCACACTTGCATATACGCATATTTAAAAAACTAAATATCCACTTGTTTGTGGGCTCTTAAAGGGATAGTTCAACTAAAAATGAAAATTATGTCACCATTTACTTACCCTTTACCTAATTCAGCAAAGTTTTTTTCTTCTGTTAAACACAAAAGAAGATATTTTGAAAAATGTTGAAAACTATTAATTTCATTTATTTTTTTCCGCCCTATGGAAGTCAATGGTTACAGGTTTTCCAGCCTGATCTCACGAGAAAACGTAAGTATTTTACGTTTTGGCAGTTTAGTGGCTAATTCGTACGAATTCGTACGAGTTCAGTCGTAAGAAAATGTACGATTTTAAAAAGGAGGCGTGGCACCTAACCCCACCCATAAACCCAACCGTCATTGGGGGATACGCAAATCGTACTAAAATGTACGAATTAGATCGTACGAATTTGTACGAATTAGCCACTAAATGAAAAAGTTACGAATTGCCGTGAGATTGTGTTGGGTTTTCAGCATTCTTCAAAATATCTTCTTTTGTGTTAAAAAAAATGCATAGTTTTCAAACCATGTGAGGAAACGTAAATAGTGAGTTAATTTAATTTTTTGGGGTGAACTATCCCTTTAACTTGTAAGCAAACTTAAAGGGACAGTTCACCCAAAACTGAAAATTCTAAACCCTTTACTTGTTTTAAACATACTTGATTTTTTTTTCGATTGAAAACAAAAGAATACATTTTAAAGAATGCTAAAAAACCTGTAACCATTGACTTCCAGAGTATTTGTTTTTCGAACTATGGAAGTCAGATTTCAGCTTTCTTCAAAATATCTTCTTTTATGTTCAAAATAAAACAAGGAAACAACAAGGAAATCCTATAGAACCACTTGAGGGTTAGTAAATAATTAGTAAATTTTCATTTTTTGGGTGAACTGTCCCTTTAGGAACACACTAAACGCATACAGTAGGCTTTCAGGCCTTTAAAAACTATTCGGTTTTTGCTTTCTATAGTTGTCTTTGATTTCATGCGTATTTCCATTATTTTATACTTTATACATTATTTTATACTTTCAGGCTTATACTAAGCCTGATTTACTATAGTAACATTTACTCACCCTTTACTTAATTCAAACAATTAAGAGTTTCTTTCATCTGTTAAACACAAAAGAAGATATTTTGAAAAATGTTTAAATGTTCCATTTGTCTTTTCCCCTATGGAAGTCTATGTTTACAGGTTTTTAGCATTCTTCAAAATATCTTATTTTGTGTTCAACAGAAGAAATAAACTCTTAAAGGTTTGAAACAAGAGTGAGTGAATGCTGACAATTGAGTAAATTTTAATTTTTGGATGAACTCAACCATTTACTTGTTCTAAACAAGTTTGAGTTCCTTTTGTTGAACACAAAATGAGATGTTTTTAAGAATGCTGAAAACATGTAACCATTGACTTCCATAATTTTTTTTTTTTGTACTATGGAAGTAAACATTGAGATATTTTCAGCTTTCTTCAAAATAGTTTATTTTATGTTCAACAGAAGGCCCGGATTGGCTAATCAGGAGAACTGGGAGAATTCCCGTCGGGCCGGTCCATTTTTTGGCCGCAAGGGCCGGTGTCCCAAGCTGCTTGCACTCTCAGCAGTTGCACTTTTTTCATTTATTTATTTATTTTACATATCCTCACTATTTTTAATCATTATTGTATTTAATTTCTCGCAGACCCGTGAGCAAAATGCAGGCCGCAGGTTAATGATGATGTAACTTTCATTCCAGCCCAAACCTTAGTGAACATTAATTAATATTAATGAATATTACACCTGCTTAATGAAAATCAGATGATTCACAACCTTAACATTAAATCTGACATAACTAGATCAGAAATCTAAAAAGGGGAGAAAAAGAGTAGACATCAATAGCAGCTGATAACAATGCAATACTTATTCTTTATCCCGAACTCATCACCTTAACAGTGCCATCTTGGTCTAGTGGTTAACACATTGCGTTACGATGCCGCAATTGTGTCACGTTTTTTGTGTGACGACCATTACAAAGGACTGGATATCTATAAAGAATTAATGTTCTCATATTTATGAAAAACATTTAAAGTTCTAAAGCAGCTGTGTCCTTTAAAAGATGTGTTAGTGTCATTAGAAACTGAATTGGAAAGAACATTATTTTAATATAGTCAGTCGTCGACTGAGGTGGGCCGGTCTAAGGCTTGAAACTCCAGAGCTAAAAAGGAGTCCCACTCCGGCCCTGTTCAACAGAATAAAGAAAATCTTTAAGAATCACTAAAGATTTTTTTGGGTGAACTGTCCCTTTAAGCACACACTAAGCACATACAGTAGGCTTTCAGGTCTTTAAAAACTATTTATTCTGCTTTTACTTTCTATAGTTGTCTTTAAACCTAATTTAGGGGTGGGGGGCTAATAGTTCTGAATTCAACTGTACATTTTTTCCTATAGTGCTGCAAAAACCACAACATTTTTCTCTCGCAGCGCAGAATTCAGAGTGTGAATGATGTCATGGGGGCTGAGGAGCTGTTTCTGAGCCCTGAGGACACTCTCTATCACCAGGTGTCACCACACTCATCTGAGCAGGAACAGTTTAGACTTGTAGACTTGTAAAACTCGAGCCTCACTGACAGTACAGGATAAAAGCTTTTCCTAGGAAAACTGAGGAGCTGCATCTAAAATGTGAGATTCCTCTTTGCTAAAACCTGCGCTAGAAAAGCAGGACTTTCTTGTAGACATGTGATGTTATCAAATTGTGTTATTGCTACAGTTGCTGATCACAGCATATTATGCTATCACAATACTGACAAGCAATTGAGAGCATTGCTACTTACCAGATTTGGTTTCTTTTAGATACTTTGAAAAGTAATATATTACAATTGTAAGCCTATCTTGATTTTGTATGTGATTCATCTTTGCCGAGCGCTATTAATAATTAAACTGAAGTATACTACATAACTGAATATCAAAACATGTCTACTTTCTACTGGATGTTTGCAAAACACACAGCATTCAGAGTATCACAGATTAAGTGAATAAGACCACCACAATAGGTCTAAAAGGAGTGCAGTTTGCTCATGTTTCAACAAGACCACCACAGTAAAATGGCATTACAGGAATTTTTCACAGGTGAGAGTGCTGAGCCAAACCTGCAATCAGTCACGACTAATATTTGCCAGTGGTTTTTGCAGGAATGACTCTCCTCCCCAAGTACCTGTCTCGTGTTAGCACCGAGAGCCTGCGCTTACATTAGTGTTTACACTGAGCAAACCACAGACGAGAGGGAGGATTACTCACAGAAAATAAATGAAACAATAGCAGCAAAAAATGGATCTCGCAAACTCCAAAAAAAAAAAAAAAAAAACCTAATGCAATCCACTGCAGATTCCAGATTAAATGAACACTAGCAGCAGTACAACAACAGAAGCTTTTAATTCTTTTTACGCACATTGATTATAAAAATGATTATAGAGACAGATTGTTTATATTAAACTTTATTCGTATTAATAATTATGTATTAGTATTAGTTATTTTAAAGATACCCTTCATTATATTCATAAAGACTTACTGTAGGTCCAATCCCAATTCTACCCTTTAGCCCTTTCCCTAGTTTTAAGCGTTCACGTGAAGGGGTAGGAGTGTCCCAATTCTCTTTAGATTGAAGGCGCAGGGCTATGGGGAAGCGGTAAATAGCCCTTGAAACAGATTTTTCAGGACCACACTCAAAACCAAGAGGTAGGAAAATTTCCCTGAATACACCAGCTACAACGGCAGCATGGCTGCACATGGAAGCAAGGAGATCAACTTATTAGTATTTATTTGTCATTATAACGGATTTTTACAATAAACAAGCACATGTTTTTTTATAAACTTTATTATATTGAACACAAGTAGACATAATTGGTTGTATA